TGACGTAGAAATGTTCTCAGTAGGCTATGGCAGGGGCCCGATTGCCAGACAGGTGCTTCATGATGTCAACTGTAATGCATGCAAGACATATCTGATATCTAAAGTGCTGCTATCAGTCAGTGTCTTCATTTATTTCAAGGAGTGCAGTGATACAGAACAGGCTTTCACTTATCCTTCTGAGAAGCTAGTGGAGACTGCTGGTACTTCTTTAACTCTAATGTAGTGTATGATGGCAGAAAGGACCCCAGTTGAATTTAGTGGAACAGTATATTACGGCACCCATTAAGAACGCTGTTGACTTTGAATGGATTAGTTGTACTGGCTGGTCACTTCACCACAAGCAAATAGTAGGAAGATGAAAATCCTGGCACATCAATAAGTCATTAGGAAAGTAATGCTTCTTCATTTTGCTTTGTAATGTCCTGCCCATACCAACTTCTGGAACTTTGCAGAGAGTAGTTATTGAATTCCTCTAAGAATATCTGTGCCAGCTGTGAGCATTTTTATATGGTTCATAAGTTGGTGGTGTAGGCAAGCAATCAGGTTTACAACCACCTCCAAACCCACTCACACACACTTCTCTTCACAGTAGAGTTAACCTTAACTCAGCTGATTGATGTAAGTCGCCTGGTAACAATTCCGAGGAACTGTGCGAAGATGTAGCCTTGCTGTGAGGGGGGGCACTTGTTTAAACAGTCCTGTACCCTACTGAAGACCCTCGCTGAGGCTACTACAACTGAGTTACCCTACAGTCACTGCAGATATTAGACTTAGATCCAGACATGGAAAGTCTTGGGTGACATCTCAAGCTGGAGAACACAGGATTTACTCAGGGTCTTAACACGGCCTTGGTTTCAACAAAAGAATCAACAAATCGAAACAACAATCTCACAAAAATACTTAACACTTTATTGTGGTTCACCATCTACATAGTTAACTATGCTTATGGCTTTGACTCGGTGTAGCCCTTTGTTTATTATGTTGAAGGCGAGGTTGAGGTCGAGACACTTGGCTCACGTCCTACTAATTTCAAAGCCTAGACGCATCTGTCTGTCACAAAGGATTCCACATGACATCAAGCAACTACCAGAATGATGTCACACTCAGTAACCAACAATCCTAATTGGCTGTGGATTCCCGGGGAAGTCCTGATTTAACTACTAATGAAGCTTGCCTCACAGATCCTTGAACAAAGTGGAACCCCAGTATTATAAATTCTATAAGAAGTTACGCCATATTTCATCATCTTATACGAATTGTATAGTCTATAGCATAGTATAATGTGTAAAAAATATACATAATCTCATAAATTCAAAAATTAGTTAAAAACCTTATTAAAATACAATCATTTCTGCTTAAATGACTTCTGCTCAACTTATACATGAATCTGGCGAATTCAGTTACTGGGAGTAATAATCGGTTATAGGTTTATGACTGAAGCAGCCAGGCAGAAGGCCACAAAGAGGAGGATGAAAATCATGGCACATCAATAAGCCACTAGGAAAGTAATGCTTCTTCATTGTGTCCTGCCCACACCAACTCATGGAAGCCTGTAGAGAGCAGTTATTGAATTTCTGGATGAATATCTGTGCCAACTACTCATGTGAGCATCATTTGTTGTTTCATAAGCTGGAGAGAGTAACCCTGGTGACAAGCAAGTGCATCACAACAATAGAAACTACACGCATTCACATGCTCGTCTCAAAACTCTGGTATCGAGTACTTTGTTGATAACATCATCATCATATACAGTCAGGGATTATGTATAATAAACCTATTCTGACACACATGGTTATTGTTTACTTGTAGGTAAGAATGAAGTGGCATTACTTTACAATTGTCTTGAAGTGTTCAGGTTATCTATTTCAGCATGAAACACTGAGGAGCAGAATCAGTATCAGTATTCATTGTATATTTTTTAATTAAGTTTATTAACTATTCCTTAGGTAGGATATTTTAGTTAGCGGTAGCATAGTTGGTTGAGGGGCTATGCTACAAGCTGGAAGGTCAGGGGTTCAAGTCCCGATGAGGTCATTGGATTTTTTCAATTGACCTAATCCTTCCAGCTGCACTATGGCCCTGAGGTTCACTCAGCCTCTAACAGAAATGAGTACCAGGAATTAATTAAATAATTTTCCTGGGGAGTAAAGCGCGGCCAGCGTGTAAGGCTGACAACCTTACCGCCATCTTTGAGCCCATTATCTAGATAATATGGGACCCTCAACGTCTCACAACCCCATGGGCCTTCACGGCCTGGTACAGGGATAGCTTTACCTTACTTTTTAGTATCGACATATTGTGTTCATCTATTTTGTTATTATCGGTATATTCTTTCAGTTATTGTATTATTTTGGCCATATCATTATGTTCAGTATTGAAATTATGAACATAAGTATTATGATATTTTAAAGGTTCACTATATTCCTTCCTTCCTTATTTTATTATGTTGGCCATATTATTCAGTTCAGTATTGAATTTGTGAACATGTACAAGTATATACTACAGATTTTCAACATTTGTTATATTCCTTCAGTTATTTCTTTACATTGGCCACATTGTTATGTTATACCTCCAGCTAGTGCTGAGGTTAAGAAAATGTGGATTGATACATCCACTCCCCCGTACGCCATAATGATGTATTTGTATTTGTATTTTATTGTCATCCATTTTGCTACATAGTAACACTTGGACAAGTCATTCGGCAATACAAGTTAACAAAACAGATCTACAAAGTTACAAGCATACTACTAATATTTGTTACAATTATAAGCAATATATAAATACAACATTTAAAAAAATACACAAACTACTATATACAGCTCATGAATGGCTATGACATCCAAACATAAGTACTTGCACCATCCACTTTTTTATTAAAACTAACAAATTCATTTATTGTATAAAAAGAATGTTTCAATAAAAAGGTTTTTAAGTCTTTGTAAAAGCTGAAAAACCCACCGAGTGTTTTATTTTATTTGGCACCTTACTATACAGTTCTATCCCCATATTTACCACACTTTTTTTTTTAAATAATGTAGTTCTGCAGAATTGAACATGAAAATCCTTGAAGAAAGCAGTCTTCTGGGATGTGACACTCTGTAGATGTGGTGTTAACCGATGTTTCGGAGGAATGTATCGCATCCATCTTCAGGGTAGAAGGAAAATAAGAAAATCCTTCTACCCTGAAGATGGAGGCGATACGTTCCTCCGAAACGTCGGTTAACACCACATCTACACGGTGCCACATCCCAGAAGACTGCTTTCTTCATATTCACAGCCGTGAAAATCTCAAATCTTACATGAAAATCCATGTTTATTCTTGTATCATAACTACATTTTTGAATGTTTTTATTTTGGATGAAATCTGCTTTGTGCTCTTTTATGTAACATAACACGTCTAAGATATACAAAGAAGTGACCATGAGGATGCCATATTCCTTAAAAATTTGCCTGAAAATATTTTTAGCCAAGTCCACTAATTATTTGCAACACNCCCCCCCCCCCAAAAAAAATATTATGCCATATCTCAATAATGATAGAAACTTTCCAAAATAAATGCTTCTTAATATATCTGGACTCTCTAACTCCTCTTAGTGATTTAATTATATAGGATGTTTTACTAAGTTTTGAACATAATGACTGGATGTGGGTATTCCATTTGAGGTTTTCTGTAATATATATAAATCATGCATAGGAAACAATAATACTGATGTATATATGAAAAGCAATAAAATAATTGTAGAACTATGACAAACCTCATAATTCAATAAATAATATAACTCAATACGGAACAGAATACTATGGCCAGAATAAAAAAATAACTGAAGGAATATAATAAATCCTGTAAATCTGAAATATATACAAATTCAATATTAAATATAATAATGTGGTTCTTAAGTAGTTAAGCACAGGGACAGCTTTACTTTACTTACATTTTTTTGTTCAGTATTGAATTTGTAAACATGTGTATATTTCCGATTTTCAAGGTTTGTTATATTCCTTCAGTTATTATTCTGGCCACATTATTATATTCAGTATTGAACTTGTAAATATGTATATATTTCAGATTTACAAGATTTATTATATTCCTTTAGTTATTTTCTTATTTGGGCCATATTATTCTGTTCAGTATTGAACTTGGAACATGAGTATCAGTTATGAGGTTTGTCATAGTTCTGCAATTATTTTATTTCTTTTCATATATTACTAAATGCACATCAGTATTATTGTTTCCTATGCACGATTTATAATACATTCATTTCACTGAACACCTATGTTCCTTGTAGCTTTTAAGTGTGAATTGTGACCAGAGTTATGAAGTAGAATACAGGTATCTCTGATGGAAACAGAATTTTATTTCAAGTTTACCCAACATCAACTTTCCTAAACACAAATATACACACAATTATATTATATTTCAGCATCCTCTTGTACTGAGGCATAATCCTATTTTTTAGTAACGTATTATTGACGTTATTGATGAATACGTTAGTAAAAAATAGGATTATACTTCACAATGTCCAGTGCATTTCAGTAAGGAGGTGTTGGATTGATGTAAGTGAAATGTTCATATTTCACAGGCACTGGTGAGAATGTTTCTCCAGATAAATAATTTTGCAACCTGATCTCTTGTACTGCAGAGGTTCTTACTCCGTTTAGCTTTTTGTTTCCTTGGAACCGTTTTTAAAGACGCTTCACTCATATCCTTCCCACTGGATATGAATGAAGTGAGAGTAAACTTAGCTCCGGGACAGAGAACACACAACGTCGTGAGAATGTCGGCAAAACTTTCAATCAGGTTGCAAAATTATTTGTTGCTATTATTATGAACTACGGGTTCCGCTGCGGCTAAGGGGGGGCGGAGAACCAGTACGCATAAGCAGGTATTATGGTTGCGTGCTTTTTCCTTACCGATAATGCTCTCGGGGCTGGTGGCCATTTTGTATCTAGTTACTAACAGACAAATAAAGATGGCAGCCATAAGATCGTGACGTCATCGCTATCCAGTGCTGCAGAAATTAACATTGATGTGCACGGAGCAACTAGCAACAGTAATCATTTAATTTGTGCAGAGTGGTGATGTTAATCGTTAGGGAAGTGTTTCCTGCTGATAATTACAGCTACGGAACGGATAGGTGCCATCAGTGACGAGGGTGAAGAGTTTGCATAACAGACGAATATACAGTGCCTTCCACAAAATGGTGGGGTCCATTGAGATTCCACTGCGAGACACGGATGAGGTGCGTAATTTTGATTATTTGTGTTGATTTACTTGATAGCTTTGAAAATACAGGAATGTGTTATGATTACAAATTTTGAAGTATATGTACTTTGCATATGGTTAGTAGAGAATTTACAGCGATTGTGTGACAATTACAAATTTTGAATTATATGTGCTCTGCGAATGGTTAGTAGACTAGTACCTAACCTAATTTCGTGGATATTTAGACTGTTGTCATTGTGATGTGTTTCGTGGTGATCTGCGAAAGGTTCATGTCAAGTGTGGCGACAAATTGAGCATATGAGGGCACAGTATATCAAACAATGACCCGTATTTAATTTATGCCAAACTGAAGTAAGATCTTCTCATATGTCCATCATTGACTGATAAATTATTTGAACTGGCGATGCATAGTTCTAATATGTTTTTCCAAAACACCACAGAATTCTGTAGACGAAGTGTACTTGGTCATTTAAACACACGAATTAAATTCTGTTTTGCCCAATAGAATTTCAGGCTATAAGTGAGTGCACATAGCTGGGCGTAACGATGTGTCACATACCACTTTCATAAATTAATTTCGCCATGTACCTGTTAAGTGATCACGATAGTGCACGTGTAAGTTCACTTCAGTGGTAAGTTGTACCAGAATTGTAACTGTATAGCTAATTTTAAGTCTATTTTAAGTCTAATTTTTGCTTTTTTCTTAATTAGATCATAACTTGTAGGACTGTACTATCATATGATCTTTTTTATTTGAGGAAGAATGAAATTATTTTGTTTATAGTGTTTGAATTGTATGGAAAGAATCTGATTATGTGGCCTCTGTTTTTGTGTATAGCTTTCCCATCTGTTATAGTGCCTCATGTTATTGACTAAATTTAGACAGAGATACAGCAAAAAGTTCTGTCTTTTGGAACATAATGCTGCATAGTACAGTGTTATATCCCACAAGATGGTAGTGTTTCCCTTGGCAAATGTAGTTTGCATGGAAGGGATGGGAAATGAGATGCAGGATTTTGGTTAGAGAACCTGAAAGGAAGAGACCATTTAGGAGACCAGAGTGTAGAGGGCAGGATAATATAAAGCTATCCCTGTAACAGGCCGTGAAGGCTCATGGGGTTGTGAGACATCAAGGCTTCCACATTTGCTAGACAATAGGCTCACAGATGGCAATGACGTTGTCAGTCTTACACACCAGCCACCCTTACTGAAGATTCCTGGTACCCATTTTTGTTAGAGGCTGAGTTGACCCCAGTCTAGGGCGGCTAGAAGGATTAGGTGAATTGAAAAATCCAGTAACCTCATTGGGAATCGAACCTGCGACCTACTGGCTTGTAGCATAGTGCCTCAACCAATAATATTCACTATGCTTAGTTGGGGGTGGAGTCCAACTGGGTCCACTCAGCACGGTGGCCACTGATTGGCCTCTTGTACCTGCCCCGAGTGATTCTGATGATGGAGAATTTGGTGGAATGAAGATTGGCATGGGAAACTGGAGTACTCGGAGAAAACCTGCCCCAGTGCTACGTCCACCACAAATCCCGCTTGACCAGACCCGGGAACGAACCTGGGCCACCACAGTGGGAAGTCAGTGACTAACTGCTTGAGCTATGGCACGGCCATAACCAATAATATTAAAATGAGTATTAAGAAATAGTTTTTGAGGGTGTATACTGGATTAATTTGGCATAGGTTTGGGACCAGTGGTGGGTTGTTGTGAACATGCTAATGAATCCTTCATTTAATAAAAAGCAGGCAATGCCTAGTCTCACTAAAAAGACTCTGTTTCATGATGTGTGTTAGCATTACATTCAGTATAAACTTTTTTGCAGGTGATCGAGTTGTACTTTGACCAACTTCCAGAAGGTGTCGAGGTTCTTAGTATTCTTCACCATGAGAATGCACAGCTGCACCTGTGGGTCAGCCTGGCCGTAAGTACTGTGAATCAGGCACATCTGTCCTCATTTTTATCACCATATCTGATAGGGTAATAAAGCATTCACCAGTCACATGGTGCTGCCACATGGAAGTCCTACAAGTTCACGCACAAAGTGTGTGTGTGTGTGTGTGTGTATGTGCAGCATCGTTCTCTTAGTGAGTGCCATGGTTATGTAGGCAGCACTCCAATTCCATATTAAGGATTCCTGTGTTCAGTTCTGGGATTTGAGACCAGCCATCTATAGTGGGGTTCTTATATTTTTCTGCAGTCCCTTCAAGCAAATGGAAGGATATTATGTCTCATGCCACAGCTGTTGGTACCTGTATATTAACAAGTGACCCAAGTAACTTCACAACTTTACCTTATGTGGATTCTAAAGGGTTCTGGCAATGGTGTGTAACACATGGAATTACTCAGTTTTTGTCTTTGCCAATCAGCGGGTATTGTAACAAAAACTAGAGAACACAATGTTTGGGGAACTGGATCTGTTTCTCTCCTCAGATGTGGGGGGAGACACATTTTTCCAAATGTTATCTCATGTTGTCCACCATGTTAGGGTTACCAGTCGTAGAATGCTATTTGTGAAAACAAGATCTAAAGGTTAACCTTAGAAACTTCAGAATTCGCTGTCAGTAAGTCCTTAAGGTTAGGCTTTGTTTTTAGAAGGTCAGTACTGTGTTTTCATTATGTAAAGGATACTCTTTTGGTTTTATTTTTGCAAATAAATTTGATTGACTGGTTGGTTAGTTGTGAGGTATAGGTGTTCAGTAAGTTTACTTAACACTTTGCGGACTGGCAATTTAAATATTTAAATCTCCCTGGGGACCGCCATTTTTTTTTACCTACTACCGTAACTTGTGCACTGTTCACTTTAAAAATTAATGTAAAATCTCCTAATTAATTTTATGAATTACAAATTTTTGAGAACACTTACCAATGCTCCTAGAAGTGCTTGAGGGTGTGATGTTTCTTGAAACATTCCCCTCTGTGAAGTGGCATTACACAAAACTTGCAAATGTAGACAGTCATACTCCTTTTCTTGTGAACTGCTCAAACATGGCATTGCCTAGAAGGATGCTTCCCCTTGAAATGTTCGCTCTTCACAATTTTTGTGAGGGTTTGTTTCCACATATCACCCGAGAGTCACCCAGGGGGGCAAAATGTGGCCTGTATGGGGTGGGAGTAGATGGGCCCGGTCGCACTAAGACTGTGTCTGCCGCCGGTTCTGCCGCCACCGTGTGGTCTGTAGCCCAGGTTTTTGCCACATTCAGCAGAAATGCCTTGTATTTAAATTTTGAATGAGGGTTTAGATTTTTGAAAATGGCACAATTTATAAGCCACAAGGCAACTTTCTTTGTCCTCTTTACTGTTTTCCGAGGAAGAGAATAATAGGCCAAGTACTGATTGGCTCTGTCAAGTCCCTTCATGAACATATTATACTCGGAAATACAAACAGGCTTCTTTACCTGTCCATGTCTCCTTTGAACATCAACCATGCTCGAATTGTGAATTATGGAAATCAGATTGATTCACAACATGAGTATCCCTCCAGGACTGAAGAAGAATATTCCCCTTCCTCCTGAATGTGGTTCCCCACGTTTCAGGGATTTACATTCCTCTTTCAGATCTGGAGGAAGGCCTCTGTTCACCCTAATTGTTCCACAAACACGTACTTTTCTCGAAAGTAGGTGTTCTGCAGCTGCCACACTGTTATAAAAGTTGTCTTGATAGACATGGTAATTTTGATCAAGATAGGGTTCCAAAACAGAAAGAATAGTTTCTTGTAATTTCTCTCCTTCACCAGAATAAAATTCTAAATTTCCAATATAGCCTGAAGTGCTTTCAGTAACTACATGAACAAGTAGGCCATACTTTGTAAATTTCCCAGGATATGTTCGCATATTGCACTACTCACTGACAGCTTGCTACGTACAGCTTGAAGAAATAAAGGCATTTATTTTCCTTTGCAGGGGCATACAGTTACAGTGAGGTCACATAACTGATTAGTCAGCAAAAATTCCAGAGGCTTATCACGCAGCTGCAGGCAGCTATGTGTAAGCTGGGCGGTGCCAGAGCGATGTATAATGTGTTGCAACTTATAGTTTTCTAAAAAATATTAATGCGCGACCGGTCAGCCATGTTTAAAAGTGAAAAACTTATTAATGCGTGCGCAGTCTACAAAGTGTTAAAATCCAAAACGCATGACAGTATGAAAGTACCCAAACGTTTCCATACACATCTTTTCTGTTTCATTATTTGCTATCATTTAATACTTTGTAAACTTACTAACTCAATTTGTTAAGTAAAACCAGTTGAATGAGTGCGTTATATCTTTTTGGAAATGTTATAGTAACATTTGGGAGTGTTCATATACAAGTTAATCTGTTACATTGCTTTTCAGCTGGAATATTATAAGCAGGGGAAGATCGAGGATTTTATCAGGATACTGGAAGCATCTAGATTGGATGCGAATGTGGACTATCGAGACTATGAGAAGGACCAGATGCGAGCACTGGACATGCTGGCCGCGTACTATGTGCAGGAGGCAAACCGGGAGAAGAACAAAGACAAGAAGCGGGAACTGTTTACCAAAGCCACATTGTTGTATACGACTGCTGACAAGATTATAATGTATGACCAGGTGAGGTGGACCAATCTTATTTTCATTATGAAATGGCTACTGTGTTACTGAATGCTTCTTCATAGTTTGGAGGACATGGGATCAGGTGACTCAGAGACCAACTGCTCTAACTGAGGTTTATTCATGGTCTTCATCAGTCCCTTTAGGTTCATCCTTTCCAGCTGATACACACTAATCCTACACCATTTGATGTTATACCCTTATAGTCTTAGCTACTGATAGCTCAGTTACATCAAACATTCATATTTAGTATATTTCTGTGGCAAATGTATTCAAATTGTATTATGTCCATTGCTTCTGTTGTAACTTTTAGGTCTGCAAGTTTGTTCAGAGTAAATTTTTGAAAAGTGTATCTTTCATTCACAATGACCCTGCTTCTGCTCTTCTTCTGGCATTGTTGCTGTTTCGAAACTCTGGCATTCAAAAGTGTAAATTGTAATGGACATGGTTCAACAGAGTGAACGGGTATAGGGGTTTTGGGGGGGGGGATAGTGGTAATGCTTCTGGCATATTTGGGATGATCTTTGTTGGGACATTGGCTATCCTGATAGAGGCTTTTTGTGGTTTTCCTCAGTCCTGTCAGGTAAACTTTAGGACAGTATCACAATTATGGCAACTCTGTATCTGAATTGTTTCAAATTCACCTATCATCCTGCCATTTGACACTGTATAATCCAGATGCTGAATGTGTTGTAAAGTACCTCCCTCCCATTGCGATATGGGTCAGTGGACAAAAAGTCTCAAGTCTCTTCTTTATTCCCACCATCTTCCCCTTTCATTTTCTTTCAAGCTTTTCAGCCTACTTTATTTTGAAAAAATGAAAGTAGGCTTATGTGATCTCCATGCTGTCTGTGATTCCTCACCGTCAACTTTTGAATGCCTGAACTAGTCTTTGTGAAACTTGGTATGTATATCGTGGCACCTGAGCGCATCTCAACAGTGTAGTTCATAAATCCCTCTCATAAATCTGTGTGTCTGTATGGGTATCCATCTTAGCCATGTTAGGCAAAAGCTCAGTAAAGTGTATCCTTTAGGCAGTGGCTTGGTAAACATGTTCTCTCAGCAGTAAATACTTGCAGCAATAGAAGAATTGTGAAGACTTTCCCGCAACAATGAAGAATTGTTGGAGGCATCATTTTCTACATGGTCCTTGTATCAAAAGGAAAGTAGGCAATTAGTTCTTCCCAGAACTTTTTGTTATGTTTTCCAGCAGCTGACTGAACCATTTTGTGCTGGGTTATGTCATAGATCTATTTCTTTTAAATTTCAAAAGTAAATCATTTCCTGATATTTTTCACCTCGTATTGTAAGTGTCTGTGGAGTATGATGAGGCTGTACTGATCTTCATTTATGTTTGCCTGCAGAACCACTTGCTTGGACGTGCATATTTCTGTCTGCTGGAGGGGGACAAGATGGAGCAGGCTGATGCTCAGTTCAACTTTGTTTTGAATCAGTCACCGAGCAACATCCCTTCTCTCCTTGGCAAAGCGTGCATTGCATTTAACAAAAAAGATTTCCGTGGTGCCTTAGCATTTTACAAAAAGGCGCTGCGCACCAATCCTGGTTGTCCTGCAGCTGTTCGTTTAGGCATGGGTCATTGCTTCATGAAACTCGGCAACCAGGATAAAGCACGGTATGTCTGCTGAACTGACTTCCTCTTTGGGATTGGAACAGAATACTATAACAGTGTTTAAAGTCTGTGTGAAACATCTTGAGGGGATATTTTACCTTGCAGCCATACAAAACAAAAACAAACTCTGTGGCCTGTAGTCGGCAAGCGAACTGTAGAAACCTAGTGACTTTTGCTTGTGGGTGAAGTTAGTGTCAACTTTTGTGGATAGAGGGTGTCATGTGGTCAGTGCAATGGTTCCCCATGGCCGTTAATCTCGGTTTTCTAGACCGGAGCCACTATTTCCTTGAAATAGCTCCTCAGTTATTCTCATGAGGCTGCATGAACCCCATTCCAGACCCACTACTTCTCAGAAAATGTGGTAGCACCAAGAATTGAACTCAGGACCTCTGGGTCTGTAGCCAAGAACTCTGACCACTAGACCACAGAGGCACCTTGCAACCATAAGGGAGAAAAGTTTTGTGTGTTCAGGGATATCTCCAGTGTGATGATCCTGAGTTCCACTGTGCATTTAAAATAGAATCTGGTAGCTTTCTAATGATGACATAATGATCTGTATCACTGTTGGATGATGATGCACCTTCAGAGATGTTTTACCATGCATATTTCATGTGTTTAAGGAGAAGGTTTGGAGGAACCACATGTTGCCTTTCTATTTCACAGCAACATGTTACACACCCCAACACTTACTCTTGCAGTACTTGTATATTGGGCCATGCACATCCTTGTTCTGCCTTATTCACTCCAAAAACAACAATCGTAATCTATGCGGTAGCATAGTTGGTTGAGGCACTATGCTACAAGCTAGAAGGTTGCGGGTTCAAGTCCCGATGAGGTCATTGTTTTTTTTTTTCAGTTAACCTAATCTTTCCAGCCGCACATGGCCCTGGGGTCAACTCAGCCTCTAACAGAAAGGAGTATGAGGAAAATTCTTGGGGGTAAAGGGTGGTCAGCGCATAGGGCCGACAACCTTGCTGCCATCTATGAGCAGATTGTCTAGAAATTGTGGGAACCTCAANTGTATAGGCCGCACATTTTTTGCCAAAAATTCAAGAGGAAAACTGGGGTGCAGCTTATATTCAAAATGTTCGAAATCACACTTCATTTAAAAAAATTATATTCATAATTAGTAATACAGGGTGTAATACTCCTGAAATAATATTCCAAGAAACATATTTTTTCTATAATTTCTGTCTGAAAATTGTGCTGCGGCCTATACATGTGTAAATACGGTATTTATGAAAGAAAATGTGTTGGTTTTAATGTGCTGTAAACAGTGTAAAATTTTTCTGCAATTACTCAGAGAAATAGTTGATCATGTTGTTAACATTGAGGGGTTCCAGTGTGATTTTAGATTTTTGTTCTCTTGAAGAATGGGTTTGATATATAAAAAGGAGTTCAGAAACTCTGCTATATAGGATTACTTGTGTGACTGATACACATTGTGCATTCAAGGTGAAGTCTGATCAATTATTGTATGAACATTTGTACTATAAACTTTTTCCCATATTTCTTTCCTGACTTTAATGGATAACGCATTGAGGTCAATGTCTATTGCTGTCTTCCATGAATAATGTGTGCATAATCAATTGTATACTGTTTCCTTTATGTTATATACAGGATACAACAATTTAATTCCCAGAAAGCAAAATTTGCTCACCTGTTCACTAGCGGCTGCTGTCGCCTTCAAAATACTCTCCTTGTGAAGCTATGCACTATGGTGCCATTGCCAGAAACAGTCTTGAAAATCATTTTCCAGAATACCATGTAGTAATGTCATGTTGTTTAGATGTCAGGAATGTCAGCAAATCTCTGCCTCTGCAGGGCATTTTTTAATTTTGGAAAGAGTTAAAAATCGCAGGGGACTAAGTTAGGTGAATAAGGTGGATGGTCCACTTTTGTAATGGATTTCTTAGTCAGGAACTCACGAACTCCTAGCTCATCATGCACAGGTGCACCATCATGGTGGAGAATCCACTAGCCAGGCCAGAGTTCATGTGTTTTCCTCTGGACAGATTCCTGTAACCTTGTCAGCACTTCCAAAAACGCCGATGATTCACTGTTTGTTCATACTCTGTCCATATATGCATCTGCCCTTTGCATTTTTTGATGCCTACTTCTTGAGACATCTTGCACCTATTGTCCTTCCTTGAACCACCTAAGCCATTCAGACATTCAATTTCTTCATAGTGTATTCACCATAAGCCACTATTAATAGGGCTGATGTTTTACTAGCACTTTTACCAATCTCCACACAAGACCTGATGTTTATCCACTGCTCCAGAATCTTGTCACTCATTTTTCCGCCAATGGTATTCCATCGACACATACTACTTCCTCTGCAACTTGGGAACAAATGACTCATTTGGTCTGTGGCTTATGTAAATGCAAGTTGGAACATGTCCAGATGTGCTTGGGTATATAAGTTTGCCTGACTCGACACACTGCGGCAATTTCAGGAATTAAATTGTCGAACCTTGTATAACACATCATATATTCACTTCAAAATATTATCACTATTCACAGAATATACATGCTGTAAGGTCACAGGTTTAAGTCCCGATGAGGTGGATTTTTTCAGTTGACGTAATCCTTGCAGTCACACTATTATGGTCCTGGGGTCAACTCAGCCTCTGATGGAAATGAGTACCAGGAATCTTCCTGAGAGGTAAAGGGTCGCCAGTGTGAAAGGCTGACAACTTACTGCCATCTGTGAGCTGACTGTCTAGATAATGTGGGACCCTCAATGTCTCACAACCCTATGGATCTCCATAGCTTGTTACAGTAATAGCTTTAGTTTATTTTTCACTTTTCACTGAAAAGACTGTCCACTCATTTGTGACTTACTACATAATGTCCCTTCTTCAATTTGTTAATGATTGACAGTTCATTGCTATGGTAACACAAAAGTACATCGTTCAGAGCTCTGTCAGCATTATGTTAATTCGTGTGCGTGTGTAAGAAAGTGAAGCATGTATAGTAAGGACAGTTAATAATATGCCTGTTCCAGATTGGCATTCGAACGTGCTCTTCAGCTGGATCCTCAGTGTGTTGGAGCTCTGGTTGGTCTTTCAATCTTGAAGCTTAACCAACAGCAGCCAGAGTCAATCCGGACAGGTGTTCAGATGTTGTCAAAAGCTTATACCATCGATTCAACTAACCCAATGGTGCTGAACCATCTGGCTAACCACTTTTTCTTCAAGAAGGTATAGTTCTTCCACTTCAAAATCTTGACTGAATCAATATCTGCTGCTTTCATTTGAATGCAACACAGCCCAGTGACAAGAGTCCAACACCTGCACACTGGTTAATGTCCCAGTGCTTAACTAATTAAGGACTACATCTTGAATATGTATGGAGAGTGGATTTATAGATCCACATATTCTTGACATCAGCACTAGCTGGAAATGAGTGGTCAGCTTAATGTTCGGCCACTTTACTCCCAGGGGAAGAACCCTTCATACCCATTGGATAGGAGGCTGCGTGGTCCCCAGAGCCGGTCTGGATGACATGGAGAGGAGAAAAATCTTACCTCTACCAGGACTCGAAATCAGACCTTTCAACCAGCCAGACCGTAGTCAGGTTCTGTACTGACTATGCTATTCTAGCTCCCTAATATGCATATCAGAAAAACTATTAGTATCCTAGTTTCTCAGGTAATGCTGGTTAAGAAATTCAGTGTAAAGTTAGTCTCTATAAAATATCAAGTCATCTGGTCATAAGAATCTAGCACATGTGCATGTTTGGTCACTCTGAAAAATGTTTCTTCAATTCTTTATCTTTCATTCTCATTCATTTTCTCCTTCCTTTCCTTTTCCTTTTCTTCCTCCTTACCTCTCTACCTTTCATACCTCTAACTAATTCTACCCTTCCACCAGTAATCCTTTCCCATCTGTTTTTTCCATTCTATTTGTGAGTCTCTTCTAAAGCAGTTTAGGAAAACATCACTCAGAATATGTGTTGTGTGTAACGTATTAATGGGCAACCCAAGTCACCTTACAACTTTGCTGCTATGTTGTCCAGCACATCAGTGCTGCAAACTGGAGAAGTTTATTTGCAGAACAAAACCCGGGGTCTAATCTTAGAAAGTTTTTAGATATTTGTTTTACTAACAAAACCAAAATCCTAACCCTTTTTGAAGAATAATCAGAGGCCTGATCTTTTGAAAACAAACCCACAAGCCTAATTTTTTGGCTTGTTATTGCAGGCAGATTCTAAGGTCAAGTGTTGGATCTTGTTTTCCAACATTGGCAGCACTAATGTGACTGACAATATGGTGGTAACTTTCAAGGTTGTTTGGATCATGTGTGAATATGTAAGTATCCATATGTTTTATCCCGTGTTGGACTTTTATTAGCCTGTATTGCATTATTGTAATGGTGCATGTGCACCATCTACCCAGCAGAGTGTTGCATTTTTTCCAAAGTGATGCTGTTACAAGTGATATAAAATTTTGCTAAAGGCTCCATAACATGAGGAGGCATTTATAATCCCCTAATCCATGTTAATAAAGTTGATGTTGCATTATTGGTGTTACAGGATTACCACAAAGTGCAGCACCTTGCGCTACATGCATTCCACAACACTGAGAATGAAGCAATGCGAGCTGAGAGCTGTTACCAACTGGCCAGAGCCTTCCATGTCCAGGTGACACTTTGTTGTGTTAATTTCTAAGGTTTGGTTTCACTGTCTTGCAGGCAACAAATAAGAAAGTCAGCCAAAGCATTAATGCTTCTGACTTGTGTTCATGAGGTACCTGGTTTGCATCTCAGCTGGGACACTGTCTTGAGTTCAGTCATGGATCTTCTTCCCTGCCTCTCCAGGTATATGCTGAGATAGTACCCTCAGATATGTTAGGTGGGTAGGCTGAAAAGTAATGCACACATACTTGTAGAGCGCGAACAAAAACAAATAGCAAGATCGGGCAAAAAGTACATTAAAGTACAATTCTTAAGTTTCAAAAGCATATATTTATTTTCCAACATAGTCACCATTAAGGCTAACACATTTCTCCCAACGTGTAACAAGTTTTTTCATTCCGTCACTAAAAAATTCTTCCGACTTTTCTCGAATCCAGGACTTGACAGCTGCCTTCACCTCATCGTCTGAGGTGTAATGATTACCCTTGAGGTCTCTCTTGAGTAGAGGAAAAATAAAAATCGCAAGGCGCAAGATCGGGGGAATGAGGAGGGTGTGGAATCGGTTCAAACTTCAGGTTTCGCAGAGCCTCTTCAGTTGCACGTGAGGTGTGTGGACGAGCGTTGTCATGTTGCAAGATTATTGGCGCTAGGCTGCCTCTAACACGACAAACTTGACGCCGGAGGTGTTTTAGAGTCTGTATGTACTGAGAAGAATTTACCCTTGCCCCTCGTTCCAGAAAATCGGTCATATCTCGGTGAGCATCCCAAAAAACAGTCAAAAGAAGTTTTTTGGCGGATGGTTGTATTTTGAACTTCTTCACCTGAGGAGAAGACGGATGTCGATATTCAGCGCTCTGTCTTTTCTCTTCCGGGTCGTAATGATGGACCCATGACTCGTCCCCTGTCACAGTATTCAAAAGAAAGTCATCTCCTTTGTCACGGTAGCGCTGCAAAAGTTGCTTGCAGCATTCCAATCGACGCTGTTTGTTCTCGTCTGTGAGACAGCGTGGTACCCATTGTGCACAGATTTTACGGTGTCCCAATTGTTCAATAATGAAGCCGACACGTTCCTTGGATATTCCAATATGGTTTGCGATACGCTTTTGAGTGATTTTCTGGTCATTTTAAATCAAATCGTCGACGAGTTTGCGATGATTATCGTCTGTGGCAGTGATCGGATGTCTGCTGCGTGTTTCATCAACAGTTATGGCTTTTCCAGGCTCGCAATCACGGAGTTTTATTACCCATCGATTTACAGTAGACCTATCAACAGCATCGTCACCATAAGCAGCCTTTAAACGACGATGAATCTCAGTAGGAGTCACTTTTTCAGCAGTTAAAAATTCGATAACAGCACGCTGTTTAACTCGCGTTGACATAGCACTAGAACACGTCTCCATACTTCCGCTTCTCGAAATACACTGGATGAACGCAATGACCTCAAACCTGCGCATGCGTATTGAGGGGGAATGTTACTTCCACATGCCACCTGGCATGCTTCTGAAGGTCATTTCGTTCGCGCTCTACAAGCACATGTGCATTACTTTTCAACCTTCCTATGTATAATGTTCTTATGTCATTTTAGGTAACAGTGGGTACTGTTATTTTGTTAAGGGGATGTTCACTCTTTCAGTGCCAAATTCATCATTACCGCTTCCTTCCATATAGGTCGATACTGTGTAGCATGAGTTACTGACAGCATCACCAGTGTGTTGGTCGAGTAGATAGATAAATGAATAACACTGGACACTAGTCTGATAGATGTTCAGTGAGGTTTCAGAGGAATGCACTCCCTCAGTCTTTAGGGGAAAATTGTAAGCCAAGCAAGTAACCAGCAACAGATGAACATCTGCTGGACAACCAGCGTTTGATTGCAGGCAGGGACAGAACATTTTTGTCACCTCCACAGCATCCAGATTTGGTCTGGGCCAACCCAGTCTCCTATCCAAAGGGTACTGGGGTCTCTTTCCATGCAGGTAAAGTTGCTGGGACGTGAAACTGACCATTCACCTCCATCCAGTGCCGAGATCAGGAATGATGGAANATATATTACCGCAGGAGCCGCGGCCGCGGAATTTAAATGGCCACGTCAAAGGGTTAAACAGAGGGCTGTGATGACTTTTGATGAAGGTTTGAGAGTTGCTGGTGTGGATGTTAAGCTTGAAACATGTCATAATGGCCTTCTGTTTCATGTGTTGGTACTGATGTTGCAGGGTGATTATGACCAGGCTTTCCAGTACTACTATCAGGCCACACAGTTTGCACCATCTGTGTTCGTGCTTCCACATTTTGGTCTTGGCCAGATGTATGTCTACCGAGAAGACACAGAGAATGTGAGTTGCATTGACTGCTAGGTCTGTTCTTAGCTGAGATGGTCAGTAATAGGAAAATTATTTTTCTCTTGTGTTTATTTTATGTACAAGTATTCCGTGACTTAGATACAAGGCTTATAATCTTGCTCTGTGAAAATTTATTGTTGTGAAATCCAGAGAAGTGAAAACTGTACACAATCTGGCACTATCTTCGGAGGAAGGCTTTGGCTCACGAAGGGCTGTTTTGTCAATGCTGATGATCATCTGACTTATGCAGCAGTTGCATATCAAAGACTGGTTTCATGACTCAAAATTGTTGTTATTCTCTGGTTTTACCACTTTCAATTTTCATTGAAAATATCTTATTTAAGGAGCAGTAATACCATTTCTCTGCAGCATCCAGACTGGCTCTGGAGCCCACCCTACCTCCACTCCAGTGGGTAATGGGAATGTTTCCGTGGTAGCAAAGTGTCAGGTGCATGAGGCTGAACACTTACGTTCATCTAGTGCTGAGGTTAAGAGTGTATGGAGCTGTACCTCTATTTTGCCGCATGTCTTAAAGATGTGAAGTGTATTTAAGCACAGGGACAGCTTCATTAAATGTTTTAGCTGCTTATGAATCTCACTTCTTTTTTTCTGAAGATTATTTTTTCAGGCCAGAAATTTGTATGGAGTAGCATAAATGTGAAATGTGAAATGTGCATATGTAAAAGTTGTGTAAATTGGAGATACCCGTATGTGTTAAAATGATGGCACATCCATTTTGTATAGTTCATTTTCAATGTTTTTTGCTTGTCTTATATGCATACATCTTTGCTGTACTCCATCAAGTTTGGGAATGAGAGTGCATCTCTATCAGCTGGTTGCATAGACTGCTATGTCTATGTTGGAAAGTTACTGGATTCTATTCCCAACTTATTTGTGGTATTTGTATGCATGTAGAAGATTCGAACTTAACATATACAGGACTTCTTGCATAAGGTTGATTGCATAAGGTATGTTGTATCGTGGTTTGTAGAGTAGATGAAATTTATCATTGTTATTTGGTTTGCTGGTCTAGAAATGGGTTGTGGGGAAGCTGAGCATAACTGAACTGACTCAGGATAGTGTCTAATGACAGGTTTTGGTATCATTACCAGAAAGTTGATTGGTTTGATAATGGATTGTGATATCTGGTAATTCTGTTTTTAAAACTTGCTCGTGCATTGTATGTGTCTTTTGTTTCTGTACAATGGTTCTGATAACACTGGGCTCCAAATGTGACTGAATAATCGGCACTCCTGTTTCATATTATGGTGGTCCTGAATTCACATTTTGGCCTGGAGACCAGTTGTCCTGACAAGGGGGTTTTTATAGTTTTCCTCACCTTCTTCTCTGGGACATCCTGGGATAGTAATCAAGCGAGGCCATTTGTTCCCCTTCCACATCTTTTCCCCTAAACATGATAGTCTAGAGCTGGGGTCTCCAAACTTTTTGAAATGTGGGCCACATTAGGTAATTCAGCACTTTCAATGGGCCAGATAAAATGAGAAATTAATAACTCTAGGTATATGAGTTTTATTGAAAGCACAGAATTTCATAAACTAAATACAAAGTACGTGAGAATAAATTATCATATATTAATGACAACAGACAGTAGCAGCAAATGCTCATATTTTCATCACAAATTATAATAAAACAATTATTGTGAATGATGGAACTCTTTTTGCATTCTTAAAATCTGATTAAATTGAGGTGATGATCTGTTACAATTACATTGCACCACTGCAAGAAGTCTTATGCACAATACGGCTAGTAACAAACTGCTCGCGCTATCTACATTGCCATGAAGTGACACTGCCGATTGAGGCCGAACAAGTACGAAGAAATACTGCGCAGTTTACAGTCCAGAATTAGTAAAATTGTGAATAATATTAATATTAACATAATATGGAATATCAATATATTTTAAACACAATCTTAATTAATGAATTTGAAATCTATGAACAAGTATTTTTTTACCAGTACTCATTGGAAAATTAGTTCAATTGGCGCATTTCTACACAATTCTTTCACGGGCCATAGTTTGAAGACCCTTGGTCTAGAGGTAATGGCATAGAGTTCGATTCAGAGGTGCTCGGTCTGACTCTAGGCATGGATACTAGCTATTCTAACTAGATTTTTTGTGGTTTACCTTAGTTCTTCCAGAAAAATGCTGAGACAGGACTTCAGTTAGGCCATGACCTTCCAAATTATTTCCAGTTTGTCAGGCATCCTGCCATCTGCCGCTACGTAATCTGGTTTCTGACTATGTTGTTAAGAAACCCACAATAGACTACTTTCGATTCAGTTAATTTTTCTGTAATTATCATGTGATTTTGTGCTACATAATCTGAGCTGCTGAAAGTGTCAATACATGAACTGTAAATATGACAAAGACAGGCTATGGTGAAAGTGAAGGATAGAAACACTGTTCCGATATTCACTTGTTTTGGTGTGTTAACAGGCAGCACAGTGCTTCGAGAAAGTGTTAAAGGCACAACCTGGGAATTACGAAACAATGAAGATCCTGGGTTCATTGTATGCAAATTCTAGCAGCCAGTCTAAGCGTGACATTGCCAAAAGTCATCTGCGGAAGGTTACAGAACAGTTCCCTGATGATGTTGAGGCATGGATTGAGCTGGCACAGATACTGGAGCAGTCTGACCTTCAGGGTGCACTTGCAGCGTATGCTACGGCCACTCGGATCCTGAAGGACAAAGTGCAGGCTGACATCCCTCCAGAGATCTACAATAATGTGGGAGCTCTTCACTATAGGTGTGTAATGTTGTTAGAATGTGGCAGATGGGTCTGACTGAAGTTAAATCTAAGTGGCCATGATGATGGTGTCTTGCAGTGGGCATGTTTGTTGTTTTGGCCATTGTCCACACAAACACAAGTCTCAGGAACTGGGTCTGGGTCTGTTTCTGTCATCAGGTGTGAAGGAGGGAGGGTTCATACTTAGTTTTGCCTGTTAATGGATCAATGAATGAGACTGCCTGTTTCTTTAAGGTCTAACTTACCAGCAGAACATCCCTCCGTCACCCCCATTAGTGGAAATAAATACAGTGTTTGAAAAATCTCTAGTCAGTGGACAGTTTTCAAAATAATAGTCATGTTTATTGAATATATTTAATTTTAGAACTGGATATTTTCTTTTATGCAGATATTTTTAATGACTCAACAGTCAATGCAATATGGTGTTGGATGATAGGATGATGGGTGAATGATCATGAATTTGAAACACTTTAGTAGGAAATATTTTTGACCTATCAAGATACTCACAACAAGTACACATAACAACAGAAACAATGGAAAAATTTTGTGTCTTATCAAAGGAGAGTCGGTGTCTCTGTCTGTCATTGCTAGGTAACAACTCTGTAAAGACATTCCCATGAAAATGAATAATTATTGAAGGCATCATTTTTTGTGTGGTCCACATGTCAAAGGAAAGTAGGTAATAAGTTCTTCCAAGAACTTCTTGCTTTCTGAGATGAGGCTGCTGACTGCCTTTTATCTGGCCCCTACCTTCTATCTACCTAGCATAGGTGACCCTACCAGCAGCACACCTCCTGTTGGCACTAGCACAGCTCTTCAGATGATCAGGACCCACAGACCTCCTCACCACGTTAATGTAGAAGCTCAGCGAGAGGTCATGCCCAGTCAACATTAAATTTCATCCATTTAAGTTATTCCTCAGTTTAGTGTTCAGAAGCTATCATGTTAGTTCCATATGCTAGCATCCACCTCATTATTAAATTGATCAATGACGAAGTTAAAACATTTGGTAAGGGATTCCTTGCTAATCAATATGGGTATTCTTTGTACACTTACTATAATAGCAGATAGCAACTGAGAAGTTAATGGCGATTTAATTTTGTATGCAATTTATGAAGTGTTCCAAACCAGTCTTCCTCGCATTGTCACAACTGTAGTCCTCATGGCATCATCTCTGACGTGGTAAGGGTAAGAACTTTAAATGCACCATTTTTCATGTCTTCATGTGTGTGAAACAGTATAATAGTTTGATTTTTATTACTGTCTGTTGCAAGATTGGGTAATTTGGAGGAAGCAAAGAGGAACCTTGAAGATTCCTTGAGTCGCTCGAAGGTAGAGGCAGAACAGGACCCACAGTATTACAACTCTATTGCACTCTATTTAACTGTACCATTTTTCATGTCTTCGTGTGTGTAAAACAGTATTATAGTTTGATTTTTGTTACTGTCTGTTGCAAGATTGGGTAATTTGGAGGAAGCAAAGAGGAACCTTGAAGATTCCTTGAGTCGCTCGAAGGTAGAGGCAGAACAGGACCCACAGTATTACAACTCTATTGCCGTTACGACGACGTACAACCTGGCACGTCTCAATGAGTCCCTCTGTCAGTTTGACCGCGCTGAGAAGTTGTACAAGGATATTTTGAAAGAACATCCAAATTATGTTGACTGTAAGTACAAACTATGTTTCTATGTACATTTTTATAAGTTTTTTGCACAAACATGCATAAATGGAAAGCATGCTAGGGAGATCCAGTTTTCCTTCTGCATGATTCATATCTGAGGCTATTGAACATGGGCGATGTTTAGTTTGTGGTTTATTTAACAGTGCTGTCAATAGCTCAGACTGTATAGGATTGAGTGGCAGGATGATTAATGAATGATAAATTGGAAAGGATGTGGAAGGAAGTGGTTGTAGCTTATTTCAACTTACTGTCTTGGCATTTACCAGGAGGGTCTGAGTAAAAGTGTGAAGAACTCAGTCAAGATAGTTGGTGTCCTGCCTGAGTTCTGAACCACACATCTTCCAAATCCAAATGAAAATCATTAGCTCTTGAGCTGACCTGCTCGGTATGAAATTTGGTACTGGTGGTGCCAGATGAATTTAATTTTGTTTCTCTTGTTAGTATATTTTAACTCAGTCTTGTACCAGAGTGCAGCAGCACATCATTCATAGTATGCTTCCATTCAAAATTATGTAACCTATGTAGCCGAGAATGTGGTGTTAGATAAACTATGAAAGAAGTTCATGAACCCATGAGGGCAAGCAGAGTGTAGAATGGCTTTCATGTAGGCAGTATGATGTTACCTGAAAGGAAGAGATGACTTGGGAGACTAGGAATAGATAGGATGATAGTATTAACATTTCTGTTAACGAAATAAGGTAGGAGAATGCAAACTGGATTCATCTGGCTCAAGATGGGTGACCAGTGATTGGCTTATATGAATCAATAATGAACTATTGGCTTCACAGAAGGCAGGAGATTCCTTGACTAGTTGAATGACTCCTAATTTCTGAACAAACGACTCTGCTCCATAGTGACAGATAACTAGTCAGTTAGTTTTTTTTTTTAATTTGCAAAGTGGGGGGTGGAGTCCATTTGGGTCCACTCGGCACTGTGGCCACTGATTAGCCTATTGTAACTGCCCCAGGTGATTGTGATGATGGAGAATTTGGTGGAATGAAGATTGACAGGGGAAACCGAAGTAATTGGAGAAAACCTACCCCAGCGTCACTTTGTCCACCACAAATCCCACTTGACCAGACCTGGGTTTGAACCCGGGCTGCCGCTGAGGGGAGCCAGCGACTAACTGCTTGAGCTGTGGCGTGACCAGTCAGTTAGTTACTTACATAAGTAGTTTAAAAAATGTAATAAGGGAGTTGATGTATAGATGCATGTATTCTTGACCTGAGCACTAGTTGGAGCTGAGTGGTCAGCTTCACGCCACGGCCACTTTACTTCTGGGGGATAAATCCCTGATACCCATTGCGTAGGAGGCTGGGTAGGTCCCAGAACCTGTATGGGTGATGTGGAGGGGAGAAAATTCTTTCATGTACCGGGACTTTAACTAACCCCGTGGACATCCAACCTGTAGCCAGACTGCTATCCTGGCTCTTATATAATAGTTACCCAGTATGATAATGTTTACAGCAAGTTTTACATGGTGTTAAGTTTGGTACTTCATTGCACAGGTTACCTTCGCTTGGGGTGTATGGCACGAGACAAGGGACAAATCTATGAGGCATCAGATTGGTTCAAGGAAGCTCTGAGAATCAACAATGAACATCCAGATGCATGGTCACTGCTTGGAAACCTCCATCTTGCCAAAATGGAATGGGGTCCAGGACAGAAGAAGTTTGAGCGTGTGCTGAAGGTGAGTTTTTTAATGGGGCCATTGTTGCAGCTTGCAGCAAAACTTGAATATATATGTAAGTTTCATTGGACTTGCTTCATGCAGAACTAGGTCAGTATAGTGGTTTTGGCTTCGTGTTTGGGAGATGGTCTATCTGTCCTGAATTCTGAAAACTACAGATAAACTGTGGAAGATGATAAATGAGTCCTTATCCTGGTATATGCCTGGAGGCATTGATGAAGACCACAGGAATCAGTCAGGATGGCAACTGTTCTACCGGATATTCAGGGTGGGCAGCTCCCACATATGAGCCAAGTATCACTACTATGCCAGCACATTTGGCCCTGTCATCTTGTTTCTCACTGTCCCAAGATCTCTTTCCCAAAAGTTTTTGTTCACTGTCCTTGGGATACTTGTTCTGTCCATTTGTTTTGTGTTACCAGATCATTGTAATTCCTCATCTAACTCTGTTAACAAATTTTTAATTCAATAGTCTTTGGAAATTTCATTTCTAATTTTGTTGCTTCTTGTTTTTTCTTCAGTACTTTTCAGAACTTTCGTATCCATTGTTTGAACTTGGCTTTTATTTCTCCTTGTAAGGGTACTTGGATACAGGAAGAAACCAAAATGATAGTCATAACTTTTTGTGTACACATTTTGGATGTCATTTTGGGATCATTTTGACAAACTAACCCTTATAAAAAAGTGGCCTTGTGTACACTTGTGGATAGTGTGCACAGAATATGAAATATTGCTATGAAACCCTCATTGAAAGTTAATTTGAGGAGAAATGAGGGAAATCTTAAAAGATGGATACTTGGCACTGAGGTTATTGACTTGGGACAGTTGAAATTGAATGTTGAGTGGTCAGAAACATCATAAATTGAGGAATATTAAATGGAATTGTGCTGTTGATAGTAAGTGTGTAACACTTCTTCATATTTCTTTGTGACTTTGTGTTTGCAGAACTCTACCACATCAAATGATGCATACTCACAGATAGCTCTGGGCAATGTGTGGCTCCAGACACTTCACCAGCCGACCCGGGACAAAGAGCGTGAGAAACGTCACCAGGATCGTGCACTTGCTATGTATAAGCAGGTACTTCGTAATGACCCTCGTAACATCTGGGCTGCCAATGGTATAGGTAAGTATCCTTCTTGAGCCATTAGTAGTGGTATTGGGTTACTTTTTAACTTTGTTTACAGTTGAACAGTGTACTAAATGGAATGTTGTTTGGCTTTGTGTCCTGCCTGTTGTTCATTCAGAAGACATCCCAGTGCCAAATTGTTGTCAGCTGAAAGATTGAGGAGAAATTGTAATAAACTTGAATCAGAAGAGTTTTTGGCTCAGCTGAGGTTTGGATTGGACACATCAGGTATTACGGCACTCCAACGGTACCACTAAAACAGCCTGCTTAGTCACTTCTGTAGGATGCACGTGAGGGTATCTTCTGAGGTCCGAGGTTCTCATGGCTGTGGCTGTCAGGATTACTGTCTCCTAGGATGTGGTGCCATATTGTCTAGTAGATGGTTACCAAGATTCACATGAACTACAGCCTTTGTCATCAAGGTGGGAGATGGAAGTAGCACATTCCTCCATAATGTTGGTAGCAGTCTACCAGGCTCTATGGCATCACATCCCAGAAGACTGCAGTCTTTAGGATAATACCTGGTAAGTGATGTATCAGTAATCTGATGTTTAAAATATGGCCATTGTAGGTGCTGTCCTGGCTCATAAGGGCTGTGTGAATGAGGCACGGGACATATTTGCCCAAGTCCGTGAAGCTACAGCAGAGTTCTGTGATGTCTGGCTGAACATCGCACACATCTATGTGGAACAGAAGCAGTATGTCAGTGCCATACAGATGGTAAGTTGATGTTGTTTTAGACACTTTCCCGACCTGTGGTCTGCAGACTGCTTGTGGTTTGTCAATATTTTGTAGTTGTTTCATAGAGGTTTAGCTTTGTAAGGAACACATTTGATATTATTTTTACATTTTCAGTCAAGGTTATAAAGCAGTATTGCTTTGCAATTCACTACTGAATTACATTATTTTGTAAACAAATTCTATGAATGAAATTAAAAAAGTTAAACTAGATGGCCCTTGAAAACAAAATTGTATCTAATATACAGGATGATTCTAAATTATTGTCGGGGTTTCCGTGGCTTGTAAGTATGGAGGTGAAGGCGATTATGAACAACCCTCCAAACAGTTGTTTGTCACATACCTAACTGCAAAGAAGCTTGGTTAGTTGATTTTTGTGGGCTTCGAAAAAACACTTACTGGATCTGATAAACATCTCCCTGTGAAGTGCTTAGTCTCCCCGCTCCTTTTTGGTACAGAACACTACCAGTGTCTTGAAATTGCTTTAACCAACATTGGATAGCATTATCTAAAGGTGGATCTCTTCTATATTGAGTTCTGTAACATTGCATTTTAATAACAGACTTTCTTTTGAGAAACCAAAGTATGCCCATTGCTTTCTCTTGAACAGTCGACATTTTGAGGTATGACATATTTTCTTCCAGACATCAATGCAGCGAGTACAGCATTGCCAAATATAACTTTTTAAGTTACACTTTCATATTCTATAAGCAGTTTTATTTTTTTTTATTTCCAGTTTGAAAATTATAGGCCACAGAAACCCCGACAATAATTTAGAATCACATTGTATTAGAGAATGGTTATATTAAATACATAACTAAGTATCAACCTCTTTTAGTACAGATGACATAAATAAGCATAAGTGTTGTGAATAAGGTGGTCACAGGATGAGGAAGGGTTGCTCATGTCTGCAGAATTTGAAAGTTGGGAAATACTGGCTTAGCATATCAGACTAGAGTACGATGTGTTGCTGAGTATGGTCCCGTTAAAGATTCCCTGACTTGATCCTATCAGGCCCCCTGTTGGACTCATGTTGACATTAGGGAAGTCTTGTTTAAATCCAGAGCAAGCCTGAGAGTGTCATGTATAAAATTCAAATGAAGCGACTGAAAATTATGAGAAGAAAGCTTGAAATTGAAGAGGTGGGTGACCTTTTCAGGTTAGTAACTAAGCTGAGGTCAGGATGACTGGCAGTTTGGGATCCAGGTCCAAACCAGAGTGAACATCTTTCCTGTGCTATTGTAGCCATGGGGTTTGCCCAGCATCCTATCTAATGGGTACCTGAGGCTCTTTTCCTGGGGATAAAATGGTCTTGGCATGATCCTAAATGTTCACTTCCATCTGGTGCTAATGGTTAGAGCTGGAGCCATACCTCCATGTGAAGGCCAAGAATCATTGGGGCTCCACCTCTTTTTCCTTCCTGGTCCCATCGTGGTGTAGGCAGTCACATTTGAATACTCATTTTATCTTTCCTAAGGTCTTCCATGGCCTCCATGTCTTTTTGGTTTATTCTATTTCACTGTTTCTTCATTAGTTATTCTTTCTGTGTGGTTTATACAGTTTTGTTTCTGTTTGTCTGTTTTATTTTATGCTTAAGAGTCCTTTACCTTTTATGTTAAAATCATGATCACTTTCCTCTACAATGTTACCAGTTACCTTACTAGTTCAGTTGTTTCTGATTCATGACAATCATTTCTCATATCCTGTTCAGTTGGTAGTATTGGTATATAATGAATCAGCAATAACTTAAGTGTCATGTTGCAGTATGAGAACTGCCTGAGGAAGTTCTACAAGCATCACAACGTGGAAGTGCTTCAGTATTTGGCACGAGCGTACTTCAAGGCAGGAAAGTTGAAAGAAGCCAAGATGACGCTTCTAAAGGTGGGTTGGTTTGTTTTGTGGTGTTAGGATAATTGATGATGATGATGAATTAGGAGTGATCATAGTCTGATCAAAGTACTCTCCCAGATTTCCTTGAGGGACTGAGTAAAACAGTAACATCAGTCAAAGTAGCCAGTGTCCCAGCCAAGATTCAAAATGAGCATCTCCTGAATATAAGTCTAAAAAAGCATTGCTTCTACACCAGCCTGTTCAGTGAAGGCATCACTTGTGGAATCAGAACGTTGGAGTATTGAAAGATAAGCAAACTTGACATATTATGGTAATGTGAACTGGATTCAACTGGCTGGAGATATGCTGCTATGGAATAATACTCAGAATAATGAAGTGAAGGAAAATGCCTTTGAATGGACTCCAAAAGTGCATTCTTGTTACTATATTAATATGTCTTTGTATTCTGCAAAATTTTATGACAGAATAAGTGCCAACTGCACTACAGGGGTTATTTAATCTTTAGGCTGTGCTGTAGCTCAAAATGAATTATGACTTTCAGCAGCTAATGGTGGTAATTTGTTCATAGGCTCGACGAGTAGCACCTCAGGACACCGTGTTACTTTACAATATTGCCCTGGTGCTACAGCGTCTCGCTACACAAATCTTGAAGGATGAGAAATCAACCCTTGAGACTGTGCTACAGGCCGTGCATGAGCTTGGACTTTCCCATAAGTGAGTACGGCTCCTTTCCTGTGAATAAATTGAGTATGCTGTTATGATTCCCTCACATTTCACATCATTGTAACACATTCACTGCCATGATCAGCTCTGATTGTTTACTAGTTGTTTGTCCAGACTGCCACGTCAGACTTAGATAAATGTAAAAAGGTACAGTTTTTCTTGTACTTAATTAATTTGAGGTATAGCTCCATCAGTCTTATCCTTAGCACTAGATAGAGATGGTCATCTTCACACCCTGGCCACTTTAACCCTGGGGAAACGGCCTTGGTACTCATTATTTTTGGGACTGAATGGGTCCTAGAGCCATTCTAGATGCTACAGAGAAGAGAAAAATCTTTTTTCCCTTGCCAGGAATAGAGCTCCAAATCATTGGCCTGTAGCTGGATGCAGACCTAGGTCAGATAATAATGCTGTTTGGAAATAATGGCTTTTTTCATTGTGAGAATTATATGAACACAGGAATGTAGTCTATGGGCAGAATGCCAAGTTTTTAAGTGTTAAATCATATGATACATACAGTTACCACTGTGAGTTAATGGGTTAAGCATGAAGTAGGAATCCACTGTACTTTAGAATTTGCCACAACCTCTTTCTTTCATGTTTCTCCAAACTGAGCATTCGTAATAGCCTGCCGTACCTCATTTTGTTATTAGCAGTTGGTGTGTCGCTGTAAAACAATAGAGTGAGTTTCTTTCTTGTTACTGCAGATACTTCAATTACCTGTCTGTCCATGGGGACCGAATGCGTTATGATGTCACATTGGCAGGCCTGGAGTCTCGTCAGTGCCAGGATCTTTTGTCACAGGCCCAGTACCATGTGGCTCGTGCCCGTCGTGTAGATGAAGAAGAGAGGCAGTTGCGACGCAAGCAAGAAGAAGAGCGGGAGGCATTTAGACTCAAGCAGATGGAAGAACAGGTACAGTGAACCAGATGTTCTCCCTGTAAGAGTAGAAATGCACATGTAACTCAGGAACATGGTAAAGGTTGGAGCATATGCAATGCAGGGATCCACAGTGATGCTAACAAACTACATTCTGACAGAAAAAATCTTGTTAGCCTCACTATGGTATTAAGGTATCATAATTTATTCCTGGAAGTTCTTACCTCATTTTTGGCATACACATTACAAAAATTAAAAAGAAATTACATATTTTCTTTTCATGTCTGTCTTCTACTTGTAACTACTCATCAGATTTGCTTGAAATTCAGTATTTGGTACTTTCATTAAAATTTGTTGACCTACTCCAGTTTTGGCTGAAATGGGGCAGAAGTAACAGATACTTTATTTATGAAGACGTGCATGCATTTCTGCATGTAACTCTTACCTTACCAACTGGCTCTACAGTCCTTTGTGGACCTTTGTCTCCTGTACCAAGAGCCACCAAGCATCACTCTCCATTGCAGTGGATCTCCGGTCTTTAACTTTCAGTATCCTAAGGCCTTCTCTGGCATCATCGTACCATCTCAGTTTTGGTCTACCTCTTACACTTTTGGTATAGATCTTCCTATTTGAGGCTGTGCTGTAGGTTTCTGAACTGATTTGTTTTACACAATGAGATAGTTAACCTTATGCATAACCCTATACCAGGAGGACCAGAGTTTTTCTGTCAGGGACCCATACCCCTAGCCCCTGTAGTTCCCCTGCAGTTTTGGTCTGCCCCGAGTATTTTATTTCCCCGGCACCCTCCATCCATATAGGTGATGAACATCCCCCTATCCGTCACCTGGATAGGCACCCGATGGGAGACCGCCAACTCAACATGGGCTGCATGTAACTCAATAAATATTTATTACAGTTAAAAATGTATTAAAGAAATGCTGACTGTAAAAATGAAAAATACATTTTGTATTCAGTACACATTTTTTTGTATCCTCAGGAACCAAGTGCTGCTGTGTATTGATTGACTGTGCTGCTTCTTATTTATCAGATCCTGGGTTTGTCTTTGCCCTGCATGGTTTCATATCTTTTCCTGACTTCTCATAATGTTGATACCAAGTTCATACCAACTTACAAAGTTGGGAAGATCCAGATAATATTAAAGCAGGTCTTAAAGAAAAGGGATATGTGGCACAGGATAGGGACTAGAGACAAGCTCTTGTAGCTGCAGTAGTGAATGATTTGAGTTTCTTATGGTGGTGACTGTGAACAGTATTGTCATCAAGGATGTTACACTGCATAGTTTGATATGTGGATACAGATGTATTGGTGGAATCTGCAGTGTCTGTCTTCTGGATAGAAAACTTACTTTTCTACCCAGAAGATGGAGGCTGCAGGTTCCTCTGAAACGGTACCAGTGTAGCAAACTACACAGTGTAATGTCCCAGAAGACAGTAAATAACCTTAATTTACTGAACCTTCAAATTACATAAGAGGTGAGGAATTTATTAAGTTATTGTATGACTGTTGGGTTCTCAGGATAAAGTCTTGTTCAGGGGGTTTGTCAGGCAGTTACTTAATCAGTTAAGGAGGTGTAGATGACCACACATGAATATTAAATTTGGTTTGAAAGTTAAGTTGTGATCAAGGTGTAAATGGTTATCCCATAGTGTTCCGTAGTGTTGCTTGGCTTCTTTGTTGTATTTCATTATGTCTTGTTTCTGTCTGAGCAGAAGAAACTGGAAGAGAAGAAGAGGCTAGAGATTGAGGAATTACTCAAGAAGCGTCAAGAGTACCGGGAGAAAACAAAAAATGCCCTCCTCTTTGGTGATATGCCCAACGAGAAGCCCACTAAAAAGGGAGCAGGACGGAAACGTACTGAGTACATTTCTGACTCAGGTGGGAGTGATGGTGGTGGAGTTGGAAGTGGTGTGGACAAGCCTAGTGAAAGAACAAAAAAAAGACGACGCAGGTAGGATGGCTTTGGTGGTCAGTGAAGTAGAGATTGCTTGACAGCAGTCATCACTTCGCTCCTTTTTCCTTTTCCATTGAGTGCCTTCTTCTTTGTCTGTTGTTTCTACTATCATATGGGTCATCTTTAACATGCATCCTATCTCTGTCTTCCCAAAGCTCCTCCTCAGCTTTGTTCTATGTTCTTACTTCTGCATGACATCTTTCCTTGCCTGTACTGATTTTGTTTTTCATCTTCCTCTAGGGAATTTTCCTTTTATTATCATTTTCAAAACCTTCTTGGGGTTCTCTCTTCATTAATTCTTGAAATGTTTCTATACCATCTTATTCTATTATTTATTAATTTATTTTCTAAGGTATTTATCTCCAAGTTCTGTAATTGTTCTTATGTTAGTCTGCTACTTTAGTTTAATTCTTTGATTGCCAAGTCCTATAGCAGAACTACCTGCTGGAAACACCAAGGCCACTTAAGGGTAAATGCTCTCATACACAAGGAGCAGCAATGCTTCCTCAAATGGCCTGCAAATGACCACAGGTATGGGTCATATGAAAGCATGTTCTTTCCTTTAGACGTTAGTGTGTCACACTTGATGTCATCTGTTGACAGACATTTTATGTTAATTGATTAACAACAAGCTAATAGCTTTGGCTGTGATAGTTTTAATGCAGGATCATAGAATTTATCTGATTCGTTGTGGTCTGCAAAGGTTTAAGTGACTGTCTTTCATGAAAGATCATACTAACAACCTGGCTCACAAGAACTTGTTCAGGGTATGTCTGTTCTGTTACCATGAAATCCCATTTTTAGTGATTGTTATTTTGGGCTTCATCTGGGAGCAAGCATTGTTTTCCCACATTTCGTGAATTTTGATTTTTTGTAAGAAATTTTCAATCTTCAGAACTTGTACCTTGATTTAATGCAATTGTGGGTGAAACAGCAGTCTGTCATTTGTGTTTCCTGCATGCCAGAAATTGTTCTGCACAGTCATTTTGCATGTTTCATATGTGATGATTATTTTAGAAATTAATTTGATTTCATTGTATAAATATTGAATGTGAATGAATGAATGAATGAATGAATGAATGTATGTATAAAGGGTGAGCCTTCTTGACCCTTGCACTGCAGCCACAGTGATCTGTTGTGCCTCCCCTCCTTATATATTTATTTGTATAGAAGCACTTTCTTCGCTTGTGTAAAGAAATTATTTTATCATAATTATATTTTGTAAGTCTGGATGGAGGTGAATTGTGTCTTGTAACTTTGTGTAATGCCCTGTTAATGAGAACCTCAGTTTGAAGTAAGAAGATCCATTTTGCCAGAGATTCACTAAATAGGGATTTAGATATATTTTGGACATTGTTCATCATGTTGAGTTTTCTATATACATTATTTTGGAAACCGAGTGCTACTATTATCAAGTGTGAGGGAGGAAAGTTCTACTCAGTTGGGCCTGTTAGTACCACTGGATCACTAACTTTTAGCAGCTGTAAATATTGCAGATGTAGGTATAATAGCATTTGCTGAAGCATCTGTAAACATCTCAGTAAAATAATTCATTTGTCCATAGTGCTGATGGTGAGAAGAAACGTAAGGGCCGTGTTGGAGGTGCTCGGAAGAAACGGGAGAAACAGCAAGCAGAGAGAGACACAGATTCTGGAGAGGAGAGACCCAAGAATAGGCGTGGGCGCAAGCTGCAGAAAGTATGTGTATGTTTAGAATATGTCATTAGATGCAGAGCTAATGGGAAGAGGTATGTGAGAAATGCATACTTGTACTTCGATAGGCAATCAATCTTGTGGTTGAGTTGGTAGTGCTTGGGCTTCATGTTTTGGAGACCCAGGTTTCATATCTCAGGCTGGAAACTGATCGTCCTGAGGGGTTTTTATGGTTTTCCTCAGTCGTTGCAGGCAGATTTAGTGATAGTTCTTGAAATTAAGTGATGACCTCTGGCTTTGGTTTTAGCTGAGTCGGTGTAGTGATAGGCTACAGGCTGGATGACTGCAACACATTGGAGTTCAGTTGGTAGGGACAAGAAATTATATTTTTTCCACAGCATCCAGAGTGGCTGTGGACCCCACCAACACTCTTATACAATGGGTACCACGGGCTCTTTCCCTGCAAGTAAAGGAGGTAGGACATGTAGTATTGAGGTTAAGAATACATGGAGGTATACCTCCACTACTGCATATGCCTTCATTCATAGTGCTTGATTAAGCAAAGGGTCAACTTTGCTATCCTAGTATTTGTCTGGGTGATCAAGGAAATGTCTGAAAAAAAATCCGTCAGTGTAATTAGTGTCTGGGCTGCTGAATACAATGCGGGAGTGATGTCTGGGGTAACATTTTTTTAATGCAAAATTATAGTTACTAATATAGGCTCAACTCCAAATGAAAGAGGCTGAATTTAATTGAGTAGCTAAGGAGTAACATATGCCAGGAGAATGAGGAAAGCTGCATAATAACTATGTAGATGTAGAAGGACTAGGAATTTCAGCCCTTCCTTTTGTGAATGTGATAGAGGTAACATTGGTGATGAGGGAGAAGTGATACACAGGTGTCTGTAAACTGTTAGTCACTTGTCACTTTTCTCCCAACATGAATATGTGCTTTCTGATGACTGTAATGTGTTGAGATTTGAATTACAGACAGATACGGGGCATACAGTGTAGTCTGAAACCAAACAGTTGTGTAGCCGCATGTAGTGAGAAATCTTGTATCTAACAAATAGTATTTTCTTGTTTCTTTCCCAGTTGAAGCCCAATATAAAAAGTTTATTATTTTCCTGTATTTGGTGAATTTTTACTTGGGAAATATGTTACATTTAGTGTAAGAAATTTTGGACCTAGCAGAACTTGTGCCTCAATTTAGTTTGACTGTGGTAGAAACAGTTGATATTCACACTTTCTCTTCTAACAAAATTTAAAATCCAACTTCCTCCTTAAAATTTCTTTTCTAATTCTTGTTTTCCCTTAATACTTTTGAATAATTTTATGTCCACTGCTTGGATTTGGCTTGTGATTCTCTTTGTGATGGTCCATGTTTTGGTGTTATATGTTAATGAGTCTGCAGTATACTTATAGATTATTATTTGCATTGTTTTGAGATTTCCCTGTTCCATAATATCCATATTGTGTTGTTAACACTTGTATGTAATACTAATTTTATCAACTGGAGTTTGTATTTTATGACTTAATGCAAGTAAAATTTACTGTGTGCCAGATCTCTTGAAAAAATGCTTATGCAAGGTTTTGATGTTCTTATGTTTGTGTATCTATAAGGAACCCCGAGGTCGAGGCAGAAAGAACAATGCGGATGATGGGCTCTCGGCCCGCCAGAAGAGTCGCATTGTTTCTAAGGCTACCATTTCAACAAGTGAATCTGACAGCGACAGTAACCAACTCAAGATTGCAAGTGGGTAAGTGTAAGGAAATTTATCAGTACAGTATGGCAATCCATCACCAACTGCAAGGGTCACATTCCTGGAAAAAAAATAACACTGTGATTGGTGAAAGTGTAGTTGCCAAGACCAAGGCCATATGGGAAATTGAGGCTTAGGGGAATGATATTTGCAGTTTTGGAATTGCCTTTATATTAATACATAATATTGTGACATGTCAAGCTGTTGTTTGGCAACGGGACGTGGAACGAGTTACCACAAAAACAGACTCTTGATTAATGGTTAGTTGCCAAGTTACGCAACAGTAAAGAAAGAGGTGTTTCTCTGTGCTGTGCCAAGCCAAGCTGAGCCGAACTGCGCTGGTTGCTACGCAGCAGCAAACAACTCTTGGCAGTGTTCCAAGCAACGCCTCTGTAAACAGCGTCACACAACAGTGAATATAATGCCATATAATGTGGTCTGGCATAAATGAAGCTGTGGACTGTAGGATGGATAAAGTGTCACTATGAAATGAGACAGTCACAGTGTTGAATGTTTCTAAATTGAAATTAGATTGCATTTCTAAACTCTTAGAAATTTGTGCAAGTGCTGTGATGGTGATACAGCTGTGATATTTACAAGGATATTTTATGATTTCAGGGGAGAAAGTGGAAGTGACAGGAGTGGAGGACAGAAAAAGAAGCGCAAAATTTCATCTGAATCCAGTCGTTCACGTTCCAGATCTCGCTCAAGGTCACAGTCTGGTAGCAGATCACGTTCTCATTCAAAGAGTGGTTCTCACTCTAGGTCTAGGTCCAAGAGCAGATCCAAGTCTGGATCAAGATCAAGAAGTGGGTCGCGGTCTCAGTCAAGATCAAAGAGTGGCTCACGGTCGAGATCAAGAAGTGGCTCGCCATCAAGATCAAAAAGTGGCTCGCCATCTAAATCAAGATCTAGAAGTGGGTCGCGCTCAAGGAGTGGCTCGGAATCTGGGAAGAGTGGTTCACGCTCCAGGTCGAGGTCAAGAAGTGGCTCAAGGAACAGTGCATCATCCCGTTCTAGGTCCAGGTAGTAAGCAATATGTTTATCATCATCATCATCATCATCATCATCATCACCATTACCACCACCACCACCACCACCACCATCATCATCATCAATAATAACAACAACAACAAGAGATGATGATGACGACAATGATGACAGCACCTTCAATGACGATGGTGAAGTGATCTATTTGGTTTATAATTGCTTAAGAGTTTCTGAAGTGTGTTTGGCATTTTGTTGGCATGTTGAATCCAGTTGATATGATATTCTGAAATTTTGTTGAGTATGAGTTATTTTTTAATTTTGATATTTATTCATTTCTTTTATGGTATATAATTTTTTTCTTTTCCTTTCATTGCCCAGCATTCACTCAGATATAAAGGGATTACTGTTGTGGGGGCAAAAGTCTTAAGGTTGCAAAAGAAAATAATTAGATTCATGCTTGGTTGTAGAAGCAGAGACTTGTGTAGAAAAATGTTCATGAAATTAACAATTTTGCCCATCCATCCCAGTATATGGTTCTTCCACTATGGGGGTCGTTTTTCTTATATTCTGTGTAAACCGTGTCTTGTGATGTGTGTTCCCTTCTTAGCTGCAAGTGTTGTCATGACTCCCATAGTGGAAGAACCACACGCAAGTTTTAATTATGACACATAAGATGAATAATCTTAACAAGTTTTAGTGTGTGGAAATTTATTATAGTTGACAAATACACACTTTTTAAATAATTTTATAAAGGCAAGCAATGAAATAGATTAGCATAATTAGGGCACCTGATGATGGCACTATGTTGCCGAAACATGTCATGAAGTAACAGGTGAAACTGAATGCACTACAAGACGGCAACTGCATACATATCATGAACGATAACAGATCGAAACCTGATTCAGGTAGAAATTAAGAGGTGATTGAACTCGGGTAATGCTTGCTACCATTCAGTCCAGAACCTTTTGTCTTCTCGTCTGTTGTCCAAAAACATAAAAATTAAAATATACAAAACTATAATTTTGCCTGTGGTTCTGTATGGGTGTGAAACTTGGTCTCTGACAGTAAGGGAGGAACATAGACTGAGGTTGTTTGAGAACAGGGTGTTGAGGAGAATATTTGGACCCAAGAGAGATGAAGTGACAGGAGGTTGGAGGAAACTGCATAATGAGGAGCTTCATAACTTGTACTCTTCTCCAAGTATAATTAGAATGATCAAGTCAAGGAGGATGAGTTGGGTAGGTCATGTAGCACAAATGGGGGAGACGAGGAATGTGTATAGGATATTGGTGGGAAAGCCAGAAGGAAAGAGACCACAGGGAAGACCAAGGCGTAGGTGGGTGGACAGTATTAGAATGGATCTTAGAGATAGGATGGGATGGTATGGATAGGATAAATCTGGCCCAGGATAGGGACCAGTGGAGGGCTCTTGTGAACATGGTGATGAACCTTAGGGTTCCATAAAATACTGGGAAATTCTTGAGTAGCTGCAGAATTGGCAGCTCCTCCAGAAGGACTCAGCTCCATGAGTAAGTAAGTAAGTAAGTCATTGAATATTGCTTACCAACTTCTTAGTTGTTGTACTGGGTATATTGGCATTCTACAATTGCATTAAGTATTCAGTGTAATTATTCAATTGATTTATAAGTTGGTCATTGATGTCACAGTTCTTTTATTCTTTATCTTTCATTATCTATAAAACAATACTCGGAATTGATAATTAATTCCACATTTATTGTAAGCTATATGACTTATTCTGTATCCAACAGGATTTTCTACTATGGATTTGTAGAATGCAAAAGAAATTTGGATTTGAACTTGATCTCAGTCATGATAGCTGGTGCCTCACCAGAGACTCAAATTGAGCACCTCCCAAGTACAAGCCTAGAATATTACTGCTCAGTGCTTTCCCTTCATACTACAGTGAGCATCCAGGATACAAATTCCTGTATGATCCTATTGTTTATCACTGTTTTACTTCTTGCGAGCTGTAGGTTGCAAAATGCCATGGTTCTATATTTCTCTTAAAAATTACCCAATATTTTTGTTTTGATTTATATTCTTTATGATCTTATTGGAGTAGCAACTGTTAGTATATGCGAGGGTAAGTCAGTAAGTAAGTTACAAATGGATATAGAACTTAAACAAATAAGAGTACTGATTTGAAAAATGCTTTTATTTCTCAACATAATCTTCCTGTACATTGAGGAAGTTGTCCCATCATTTCACAAGTCCCTGAAAACCAGCAGCATAAAATTCTTTGGGCTGCTGTTGGAACCAGGCAGTGACTTCCCTATCTACAGCTTCATTGTTGGGAAAATGTTCAGCCGAAAGATGATGTTGAAGAGGGCCGAACAAATGGAAGGCGCTTGGAGCAAGGTCAGGGCTATACAGAGGATGCTCGAGGACTTCCCACCTGAAATTTTGTAGCATCTCATTTGTCTTGGCAGAGTGGGGACATGCATTGTCATGCAAGAGCATGAGGTGAGGAGTCCTGGTCGCTTCCGTTGAATGGCCTTATGAAGTTTCCTGAGGATGTTACAGTAGGAGTCAGCATTTACGGTTTGTCCTTGAGGCTGAAATGTGGTGAGCAGTATGCCTTCGTGATCCCAGTCACCGCCTGGTTCCAACAGCAGCCCAAAGAATTTTATGTGGCTGGTTTTCAGGGGTTTGTGAAACAATGAGACAAGTGCCTCAGTGTGCAGGGAGATTATGTTGAGAAATAAAAGCATTTTTTAAATCAGTACCCTTATTTGTTCAATTTCTATATTCATTTGTAACTTACTTACTGACTTACCTACGTACTTCAGAATTTATACAGAGACTGAAGGAAAAGGATCATTAGGAAAACAGGCATGTATGGGAGAATAATATTATTGTAACGTGTTTTGTTACTGAAGACGCCGTAGAGATTGTTAATTGGTTTATTCAACAACCTACAAGTAACAGCTACAATTAATTATGACAGTGTTGTGGGGTTTCACACTTTATAACCCTAATTGCAATAATCTGTTTACACTGTTGTGGGGTTTCATAATTTATAACCCTATTCGCAAATCAATTCGCTCTGTCTTCAGTAGTCTACACGTATTTAGTACGGGAGCTATGTAAGTGTCTTTGTATCACACACTCCCAATTAATTCTCAGTTATCACAAACTGTCACTGATTATCACACACTAACTCGTAACTCGCCACTGGCTAGATTCCAACTCAACTCGTAGACTGCTGCCTTGAAAACTCTTGATCACACACTCCCAATTACACAATTACACACACGTCTGGTTCTTCTTTCCGCGAACGCTGCTATACTCCAACTGTAGGCTGCTGACTGGAGAACTGTCTTTGCCGCTGATACACTTTAACTCTCTCTGGGGACGGCTACAAGTTAACTGACTCCAGCGGCTGTGCAGTTCCCTTATATAGCCGCAGTGCTTGCGTGTTATGTAATGAGTGCCTTGTCACAGTAGGAACCGGTGCCACGTCGCCATGTTACCCGCGTCACAGCTGCGTTGCGCGTTACGTCACCGTGCAGAGGGGGGTGACGGAGCGCTGACTCATCTGCCACGTCACTGCTGGGGGGGGTTCTCCGTTGCGCAACATGTCACATTATTAAGGATTTGAAAGAAATAAGGTGTGAGGATGTGGAATGGATTTGTTGAACTCAGGACGAGAACCAGTGATGGGTTCTTGTGAACACAGTTATAAAAGTTTTGGTCCTTGGGAGTTTGGTTAGTATCTGAGCAACTATTAGATTCTGAATAAGAATTCAACCCTGTGGAGTTAGTGTAAAAAAGCAGTGTAGTTTTAGCATGTCATTATTTGCTGATTTAATTTATTTACTTTTTGGTGATTTTCGTTTTCTTTGCACAGATTGCTTAGGTTTAATGTATAATGGAGAGATCTTCTCTGACTGCATAATTTCTGATAAACTTAGTTTGGTTCTCATGTGTTCATCATAATCATATTCGACAGGAATATCAACTCACTCTGTACCAGCATTTCACCTAAGCATCATGTCCTAATGAAGAAAGTTCACTTTTCATGTGGGTGAACATGTAATTACAGATATAAGATATATGCTAAACTGGAATTGTGCAGTTGGTATAGCAACTGGCTACAGGCTAGACAGTCAAGAGGTCAGAGTTCAAGTCCCAGTAGAGGCAAGATTTTTATCCTCTCCATGTTATCCAGACCAGTTCTGGGGTTCACTGGACCTCTATCCAGTGGATACTGGGGGCTTTTTCCCCTGGGTAATGTGGCTGGGGTGTAAAGGTAACCACCTACCTCCAATCAGCTCTGAGATGAAGAATACATAGATCTGTACATCCACCTTACCCCCCCCCCCACCATATAAGATTTGATGCAAGTTGCTTGTTTCCAGGTCAAAATCTGGTTCGTGTTCACGACATGGTTCTCCAGCTAAGTCCCAGTCTCGCAGTGTATCAAGGTCAGTTGATACTCATGGCAGTGAAGTAAGTTCCAGAGTTCCCTTCATATGAGGGAGAGTCAGTAAATAGGTCACAAATGGAAGTAAAACAGCTGTAATAGATGTAATAGGTTTTCTGTTGGTATCACTAGATAGTGGCACAGTCCATCTTTATGACAGTCTAGGTGGCAGATGTGCATGATTAGAGGCTTATTTTAGTAGTCAAAATGGCAACTGTGCTTGAGGAGTGTATGCAAAAGGACTCTGTAGAAAGATAGTTATAAAGAAATGTTTCCTGTTTATAGTGGGAAGTGTTTGTCATTTAAAGCGGTTCAAAACTAGGTCAAGAAATTCCCATCTTGGTGGCAGATGTTTCACCGATGATGAAGACATTGAAATGGAGGTGCAGAAGTGACTGAGACAACAGTCAAAAGACTTCACTGCAGCAGGTTTTGATGCACTGGTAAAGTGATGGGACAAGTGGATCAATGTTGGTGGAGAATATGTTGAGAATTAACTGTTTTTCTAGGCTTGAATATCACATGTTTTACATTTTATGTCCATTTGTGACTATGTACTGACTCTCCCTTGTGCATTTGCCAGAAAGAAAGATTATGTATATAAGGCACTGGTTACTATTGGTAGCGGTATGTTTGATTTGAATTTCTCACTGCAGTGACTATGAAGGGTCCTGCAGTCTGTGATGTGGAGCCACGTAATCCAGTAGATATACCCTGATGTTTCAGAGGAGTCTACTTCCTCCATCTTTGACTCCAAAGATGGAGGCAGTATGTTCATCTGTTACATCTGTGAACTTCTGCCAAGCTATGTGGCTTCACATACTGGAGGCAGTATGTTCGTCTGTTACATCTGTGAACTTCTGCCAAGCTATATGGTTTCACATACCGGGAGGTAATACTTTTCAAGAGCAGTTTCATTTAAATGTATATTTTTCTTTGTATCTCTTCTTGCACTGCTGTTCTATGCTGATGATGTGAATCTACTGGGTGATAACATAGATACCATAAAGAGAAACACAGAAACTTTAATTGATCTTAGTAAGGTGGTTGTTCTAGAAGTAAACATAGAGAAAACTAAGTACTGTCACCAGAATGCAGGGCCAATCATGACATAAAGATAGCTAACAGATGTTTTGAAAATTTGATACAGTTCAGATATTTGGGAACAACAGTGACAAATCAAAACTTGAAGAGGAGATTGAATTCAGGTGATGCTTGCTACCATTCAGTCCAAAACCTATTATCTTCTTGTCTGCTGTCTAAAAACAAAAATTAGAATATATAAAACTATAATTTTATTTGTGGTTCTGTGTGAGCGTGAAACTTGGCCACAGACATTAAGGGAGGAAGATCGATGGAAGGTGTTTGAGAACAGGGTGCTGAGGAGAATATTTGGACTGGAGAGATGAAATGATGGGAGGTCGGGGAAAGAATGATCGAGTCAAGGAGGATTGGATGGACAGGGCATGTAGCATGAATGGGGGAGAATAGGAATGCATATAGGAAATTGATAGGGAAGCCAGAAGGAAGGAGACCACTAGGAAGATCAAGATGTAGGTGGGTGAATACATTAAAATAGATCTTGGTAGAGACTGGATTGATCTGGCTCAGGATGGGGACAAGTGGAGGGCTCTTGTGAGCATGATGAAGCTTCATGTTCCATAAAATGCTGGGAAGTTCTTGTGTAGCAGCACAACTGGTGCCTTCTCAAGGAGGGCTCATCTGCATGAAGTTAGTTATCTCTTCTAGGAAAGTACCTGCTATATTTTGCTACATACTTATGCTCTTTTGGTTCCTTGTTTAGGAGCAGATCTGGTAGTCGGGCAAGGTCACAGTCATCCAGTCGGTAAGTTCTTTATTTTGGATTATGCCAAAGAAAATTTTGCAGAGATGAAAAATTTAGTGATTTTCTTTTACATGGGCACATTGAGATTAATGGTTTCTATTTTGTAAACTTCCATGATAAATACTGTATTTCAGCAAATGATTCATGTGAAATTCTTCCATGGAAGCATATTTATAGGAAGGTACATGAAAGTGGTATAAGCCAGTGTAGTGATGGGCCACAGGATGGATGACCAGTGTTCTGTTCCCAGCAGGGGCAAGAGAGTTTTTAGAGAAATCTGTTCACAGTGCCGAAACAAGCCCTGGGATTCACCCAACCTCCTATCCAGTGAGTACTGGGGGCTCTTTCCCCAGGAGTAAGTCAGCTAGGGCATGAAGCTGACAGATCACATCAGTCTAGTGCTGAGGTCAAGAATGATGGAGCTAAGTCCCCAGCCCCACATACATCTTCATGACGTGATGTTTAGTTAATTAAGCATAGGGATAACTTTCCTTTACGTGAACTTGTTTACAACTCCATTGACATGGAATATCACCTTATTTAAGAAGCACATATTTTGGGAGGAAACTGGGTGATGTGTCAATTCTTTCTAGCATGTTGACAGTGAAGATTATGTCACTTGGTCACTCGGTTTCAGCGCATGAAACATTTGAATCTTGTACACTTTTAGGCAGAGGTTTTTGTGTAGTACATCATGCACTGTTGAACGTGGAATTTGTAACTGCAAGCTAGCAGGACAAATTGATTTGTGTGGATTTCGCTGGAATGCCTCTCTAATGCGATTGACATTGTCTTCAGAGGTCCGTGTTTTTCCAGGAGATTTGAAATGAACTGTAGTCTACAGATGATTTTATTTTTTGCAGCTAGTGATGCTAATTCATACGATGTCACTAATGCCACCTTTGATCATTGTATAAAATTATGTATTACATTTGAAGTTTTACTTACATTTTCTGCTTTGCGTTTAAAAATTCATCTGGCTTGTCCTTATACTCACTGTGACTGGTCACTAAGTATCAGTGAAGTAGAGACAGTTTCATAGAGCTGTTCAATAGAATTTGGTTGCAAATCATGCAGAGTGGAAGAGGTGGGTCACAGAGATTTGAATCAAATCCATATTTAATGTAGGATCCATTGAAATACCTGTATGTCACTTTGTCTGCTTTAACATATTTGGAATTTTAGGCTTGTAGATGAATCAACACTGCTCGCACTAACATCACAGGTTTGAACAGAAACTGTAGCACTTCATTTTCACTTTTTTCATCGATATCACACTTCCTTTTTGTAATAAATGTATCCATGTTGCAGTATGGAAAATAAAAATAATTATTACTGCCATGGTTACAAGAAGGAACTGAGTGAATTATGACTAATATGCACTTATAATTTATTTGCAAGAATCTGGGATGCAAAGTGAGCCTTCATCATGAAGCAAACAAACCAGACCAGCATTTCACAACAGTTTCCACACCCCACAGAAAGACATTAAGATGGAACAGCAAAGTCAAGTAAAATTAAATTAATTTTGATGAATTATTAATCATTATTCACAGAGCCAATAATGTACCACACATATGTATACTCACATCGCTGCCTGACACGTCACTAAGCTTGTAGAAATTTACACCTGACTTAAACTGATCACAGAGTTAGATCTGACATGACTTGTCCATGATTTATTCCAGCCGTCTTACAGTGCATACACTCATCCACCTCACTCTTCTGTCCTGCACTACATGTTTCGGCACAAAGGTGCCATCTTCAGGTGCCTTTCGATTTACGTNATATTTAATATTTATCAATATATATGATGAATATATATTTTAGTTAATTTAGTATAAAGACAGCAAGGCATGCAGTGAAGTAGTTTAACGTAAACCAAAAAGCACCTGAAGATGGCACCTTTGTGCCGAAACATGTAGTGCAGGACAGAAGAGTGAGGTGGATGAGTGTATGCACTGTAAGACGGTTGGAATAAATCATGGACATAAATCAGTGCAACAGGACGCTAAAATATAACATTACTGACATGACTTGTTGGAACTGTGATACTAAACTGAAAAGTATTTTGCAGTAATGAAACTGGAAGAGCAAGGCCAGGCAAAAGTTCTGGTGTTTTTACAAAAATATAATTTAGAATTTCTGAGTCATAAAACCAGCAACCACTTCCCATGTTTCTATTGCTGGCAGCAGCAATTGTCAAAGAACAAGGTAATATGAAGGTGTGCATCCCTTTGTTTATTGCCTCAACATTATTTTGAAGTAGGTTCATTGCGTGGTGAAAACAGTATTAGGGAAAATGTTAATTCCACCCAGTAGTGTTCAGTCATGTTCCAACACACTGTGGAATAAAATGGAACTAGCTGCTCAGATAAGAATCACATAAAGGAGACAGAGAGAGAGAAATGTCACTCTGAAATTGAATATCCTTATGTTGGGGTCTCCTGTTGCTAACCCTAAATCTGGCCTTGATTATTCAGTATTTACCACAAAATAATCATATATATATATATATATATTTTTATGTACCCTGTAAGGTGTACCCCAGGTTGAAGACTATTGCCCTTTACCACCTTAAGTCACAAGAAACTGCTTTCTTAATTCATTTGAACTGTGTTTTTATGAACTCATTTCCTTGTTGCAGGTCAGGCTCTCCAGTGTCCAGAAAGTCTGTGTCTGGCAGTGAAGCAGGCAGCCCAGTACATGAGAAGGGTTCAGGTAGGCAGAACTTAATGAAACAGGAAGTAAACAGTTGCACTTACAGATACATATTTAATGTGACAGTACAGAAAACTTTAACTTTTAACTATACAGATACAACTCCAAGTAACAAAAAAGAAGTCCTATCTTTGTGACCAGAGGAAGAATCTGTATTGTGGCATTTCTTTCTTTCAGGATCTGGAACAGAGGGAGGAAATTCCAGTAATGAATGTGAATAGGAAGCTTGGAACCTGGTGTGCTTTCGTACTAATGACGTGCACCTGTCAGTCTCCGAGAGTGTCTTTTGATGCTGGTAGCTGTGTTATGCACAGGGTGATGTGTTCTTCCAGTTATGTTTAGAATCATGTTCCTGTTTTCTGGTACATAATGACAGATTTTATTATGTACACACCTGTTTTACAGTGTAATGAATAATTTTCCTTATCACAGAATAAAGTACATGAATTGTGTTTATGTTTTAATATCAGTGCCCTTTCTAATGCATGACTTTTCCATTCAGGAGCACACCATATGGAATGTTAAATGTTTTCCAGTGTTCTGGCAAGCATTATAGTTGCCATTTTCAGGACCACTGACTTAGGGGTTCTGGAATCTGTTCTGAAAATCTCATGGTGACAAGTGAGTGTCAGGTAGCATGGTAACCAGGATCCAGTCATGTCTCCTACAATTCGCCCCCAACATCTGTATATGCAGAACACCCTGAGACATTTACTCTGAACATGGCAACTGCAATGTTTGCTGAAAAGATGAACCTTCAGCATTCTGTGTGGTATTATTATTTTTCAACATCCTGTTGCATTGTGACATCATTTTTAGATCATACGAGTAAGTATACTTTGTATAATGCAAAAATAACCTTATATAAAAGACACTAAAAATATATTTAATACACTAGAAGTGCTTGTTAAATACTTTAAAATGGCATTAAACTTATACATCCATTATTTGTTGCAACATGTTTCAGCAACACATGGGCCATCATCAGGTGTGGTGTATGCCTGCATGCTGAAGTCGCACACTAAAACCCATAATGAGAACCTATACAGAAAAGTACAGTTCCTTTTGTTACATTATTTACAAGGTGGATGTCCTGTCCATTTAGTTGTAGCACATCCTCAGGGATGGAGAAGTAGATCACATGAGTATTCCTTCATTAACCTTTATGCTCCATCGCTCACATCATGACTTCAGTGTACTGGGCCACATTGCAACTTGCAGAGAACATGATGTCCATGTATATCTGTTGTGTAAATACAGGTATTGTCTGCCAACAGGGCAAGATGAGTTCCACATGCTGCAGGGGCATCATTTGTATATAGTCCAATTCATGTTATGCCTGACAGGCAGTTGGCCAGTCAGTCTTGGTGTCAAGCCCCATCTGGGGCCCAAGACCAGCTTTGTGTTATTGTTGGTTGTGGTTTTGCCAATGTGGGGCATCCTCTCTGACAAGAGGACAGGTCTGTCATTTACCATGGTCATAGTCAATAGTACATGTCATCTATATTTACAATTTTACATGTCAGCACTGAAGTCAAAGTCACGTTATGACTGATGGTCATTCAGCCAGTCAATCTTGGTACATAGCCCACCCAAAATCAGACTTGCGGTTTTGTCGATGTGAGGCACCCCCTCTAACAACAGGATGGGTGGCACTTGCAATGGTCAAAATTAATAGTATATGCCATCTATATTTACAGGTATACATGTCAGCATTCTACATGGTCAGATGTCAAAAGTCCAGTTCCTTGTGGATACCTACTGTTTATAGTTTTACGTGTAACTCTGGTATATGCAAAGGCAACAATAATACCGTCTAATGTGACTGTTTAAGTTTTATCACTTGAGGATTTATCTCCCTTACATGTTTCGATCCTTACTGATCATCCTCAGAGGGTATCAGTACTTTCGGAAATTACTATTACAATAGATGTTAATTGTATGGATACACGTATGATGTCTGAAATGCAAAATATGTGCAATGTTCAACCTTCCACATTCACGGCGGCCTTCTTGGTGTAAAAACTTTTTAAAAAAGTTTGTTTTAAAAACTTTCAAGATCAATAGATCAAATCAAATTTATCTGGTATATGCAGTATGTACATATGAACAATATATACAAGGCCTCTGTCAATCTAGGATTGGCACAGCAGATCATGTCCTAAGTCATGTATCCCTTATTACAACAGCTGCCTAGTTGCTTGAATGGCCTCATGGTTGACCATACCAAGCTTAAGCCTCTTTTATTTTCTGTCGCGCTTCACCTTTCCAAATGGTATTTTCATTATTTTATATCACCTCTGCTTATTGCCTGTACAATTTTGGTATATAATCATAAATAAACAGTACTTAAAAGACATGTGCATCTCGCATGCTGATGTATACCTTGGAAATTTACCAGTGGTGCAAAGAACCTTGTTTTGCAGGCACTACAGTTTCAAAAGGCAGGTATCTGAAGCAAATTCCAAGGCAGGGCAAGCATGAATCAGTGATCTAATTAGTGCTTTGTGGAGGGTTAGTTTAATGTTAGTGCTTAATCACTCACTTTTGGATAGGGCTTAGACATTAATAAATGATCTGTAGGCCTTGGCTTTGATCATTTCTATATGCAGTCTCCATGTAATCCTCTTATTGAAGATTACACTGAGGTATTTTATATGATTCAAGAAGGGGATGTGCTGATCATTCAGTGTGAGATGAACTTCAGGTAGTCGAAGTCTATAAGAGAAATAGGTGGCCCCAAGTTTTATCTTCACTGATTTTAATGTTCTGGTGCTTGCACCATGCCTCAGTTGAATTCAGATTGTGCTGCAACTTTCTGAGAACATAATCCTCTTTGTAATATGTAGCATACATTAAAGTATCATTGACAAAGAAGGCCAGATAAACACCTGGTGTGGGGGGAGCAGGAGGAAGTCATTTTCTATAGGTGTAAACATTTTGCCTTCAGCAGAAACTGGGAAGTTTTGCTTGGGTAGAAAGTAGTTATTAGGCTTGATTAAATTTGTCAACAATTTTAATTTATGTAACTTGAATAACATACTAGGGTGATATGTTGTATCAAAGGCTTTTTCGATATCCAATATTACTGCTGCTGTAGACATATAATTGTTAAAAAATAAGGTTACATGGTCATTAGCCTCATACATAGCAGTGTTGTGCTGTGACATGCACGGAAACTAAATTGATTTACATAAGCAAGTCTCTCTCCTCAATGTGGCTTTGGACCATTTTTAGAATGACTATTGAAAAGTTTGCCTGTAGTGAACAGGAGGCTTATCGGAGGTAAAAATGATGGAAATTTGATGTCCTTGCCAGGTGTACTGTGATGTTATATTTTGCATCCTTCCAAAACTTTGGAAAATGCGATAACTGAAGGCAGATATTAAATAAATGTGTCAAATGTACAAGTGGCCTTGGAAGGTGCCTGAGGCATTCATTTTTAATACCATAATTCCACAGGCTTTTCACAGTTTCAAAGATTTTGTTAATTTCTGTGTCACAGGGTCTTACTTTTTCCAAAGGGGTGTTGTCTGCAGCTTCAAGCACTGCCTGAAATCTACCCATTGCTTATGGTTGGTACACAAGTCATGCAGTGTGAACTGATTTTCTAAAACAATACACAATCATGATCATCATGATGGCTTTCTGTTAGAGGCTAATATTTAAGGCCTGAAGAACCATGAATAACTTACGGTGCCTTTGGTGTATCCCTCTTTATGTGAAGCTTCACAATATGCCATACTGCTTGAGGCACGATCTCACAATTCCATATTTTCGTTTCCCACCCTTCTAGTGCCTTTCTGCGGGTTATTTTTTTCATGGTTTTGTTGACCCAACTGACTGCCGTTTTACATGCTGGATCCCGGATTTCTTGCTGGTTTTCGTAGTCTCTGTGTTTTAACAAAACATCGAATCCATGAACATCATGTTTATGTACGTCCGAAAGCGTAATTTTGATTGTTGACAGTCAATGTGCCGAAGCTGTAAAGTCGCTTGATGCCGTATAGTTCGTCATAGTTAATTTCGATTAGGAGCAGTATCAGAGTCAATTGGCTGCCGCTAGTAATTGTTGTCTCTTGTGGCCCTTGTGGCTGTCATGCCACAATATATATTTTTTCTTTTAGGTTGGGTAGTGGCTTCGGTGTCTTTCTAATTGAATAATTTTTTATTCTTATTCTATAAAATAATATATAATAGGGAAATTACACAAAACAGCTTGATGAATTTTAATTAAATTTGTAAAGCGGGTGCAATATATCTTCTGCTGTACCCGAACCACAAATCAGATTTGGTGCATGGTAGAATATAAAGATCTCTAGAGCTTCTACGACTTTTGTTTGAGAGACTTGTCTATATGGAGAATACTTAATGAATAAGAAGTAAATTATTTCAGACTATGTAGCGTGGTAACCTCAACGCGGTCAAATGAAGAACTCGCCCATCTTATCAAACTGGCACCGTGGGCTAAAATGTGAGAACAAGTTTCGGTTAAATCTACAGTCGGGTGCTTCAGATCCAGATTTAAAAGGCTGAATTTTTACATCATTGTTGTACGTAAAGGTAAATGTAAAAGTGCCGTAACTAGCTAAAGCTAGATTGCTTGAATTACATAACTTTAAGGTTAACACGGTTTTGAATCGATCTACGTAAGTCGACAAAAAGCGCTGTGTGAGGTATACTTTAACTTACTTATGTCCGGTCCTCAATGTACCATTACCTTGCAACACTAGGTTTCTTGTTTTCGTATATTTTACATTAATATTAATTTCCGTTATTTATACAGTGATTTTATTTGTTAGAAATGTTTTAATACCCGTGACAAAGGGAGGGACCACACAGATAAGTCATGTATTCGTTCTTCAAGTTCTGTTATTCATTTATTCTCTATTATTAGATCATTAATTCATTTTTATTATACGTCTTAAGGCATGGTGTGGCCATGTGGTCCATTCTTGTCTGTATTTAGGTTAGGCTAGATTATCATCAGCACATTCATTACTGCATCAACACCATTTGTTAATTTTGCAGGATATATTGTGTAAGTTATATTTGAACTATTCTAGCATTGGTTATGAAATTGTTTCTTTTCCAGCATAGTATGGATTCAGTGAAAGAGGAGCCTGATTCAGAGACCAGGACAGGTCCAGGATCTTCACCAGATGAAGAGAAGGCTGATGTAAAACGAGAACATCTGGCAGAACCATTCTCTTTTGTTGAAGTGAAGCAGGAAGTGGTGTGTATTACAAAAACAGTTATGTTTTTCGATTTGAAATTAACACGGTTGCTTCATTCCACATGCTTTCCAATTCATTAGTA